GCGCCTGCGATTCGCTGGCCCTCCTCGCTGTCTCGCCGGCGCTTCCTCGTCGCCAGCCCAGCGCTCCGCGTGTCGCCAGGGTTGCAGGGCTCGCGTGCCGAGCGGCCGCCAGCACGCCCGGCTTTCGCCAGGGTGTCCATGTGTGCGCGCCGGGCTGGGCCTTGCAGGTAGCGTTGCGCTGCCGCTCGGGGATGGACCCCCTCACTCGGAATACCTCGCAGGAGCTTAGCATGATATGTGTATATGTTTACATGTAATACATACACACATGTGCATATACATACACGGTAACATATATATAGTGTTGTGTATGGCCCGCAGTCGCGGATAAGAGTGCTGGGGTCGGTGGGGAACTCTGCAGTCTGCGCGGCTCTGAAGAGGCCCGCCGCAAGCTCCAACTTGTTACAATTATACCACGAGCCTGCCGCAGGCGCCATTTCTCGTTGAAGCAATTTGTATGGGTCGCGGGTTGGTGTGGGCCAGGCACATATATGTAATGGATATGTGTTTGCATGTGAGTATAGATTCACACTAATATATTCACATACGTTTAAACACACATATATATATGTGTATATATATATATATATGTATCCCTCGCTCTCTACACTAAGAGAGCTAATGGCCTTCGGCCCGCCCCTGAGGGGCTATGGAGTACAATACCTGCGCTGCGCAGCCTGCACTTTGCAAGCGAAAGTGTCGCTTTGCAAGCGCTTTGCAAGTTGCAAAGGTGTGTTGTTTTTCGTTCAGCTTAGGGACAGCCCCGAACGCAGGAGCTCGAGGTCGACTATGTTGAGGAGGGGATGGTAGAAATGCTAGAAGGGGAAGATGAGAGGGGAGGAGGGGGAGAAGAGAGGAGGGGAGGAACAATAAGCCTTTCTGCACCTTCCTATCTTCGCGCCGCCGCTGCTGCTTCACCTGCCGCGTTTCACCTAATTTCACGCGGGCGCGCGCCACGGAACTGGCGGGTTACATCCAGTGGCCGCGCACAAAAAGAGGGAGGACGTACTGGAGGAACCGAAAGTCGGATGCTCGCGCGGATTACTTGGGTCGGCGCCGGACCCTGTCTGACGGAGCTGGAGGCACTGCTAGGAGTGCTTCTCGCGCCAGAGAGAGAGAGAGGTCCAGGTTGCAGTGACCTTCAGAAACTTGCATCCCAGGATCCCTCACATTCTCCTGGAACGCCGCAGCAGAGCGTTGCTGATTGGCTGTCGCGGCCAGCCGCGCCCTGGAACGCCGCAGCAGAGCCCGCGCACCTACCAGCTGCTCCCCCCGAGGCCAGGCCCGAGTTTTGGGTGGCAACGTCAGGCGCCAGCGCGTGGGCTACAGTTTCGAGGGGCCTCCCGTGGTCGCGTCTCTCGCCCAGAGTGGGTGTCTTGTTGTCAGACAGATGGATTTGCTGTTCACACAGACAGAGGATCACAGGGGTGAAAGCCTGTGTGATAGGAGGCACAAGGAGGCCTGTGCGTGAATATAGGAATACGCATAGAAGTACATGTGTACGCCCATCTCGATGTACATGCACATGCGTGCAAAGCTTGATATAGATACGCGTATACATGTATGAATGTATGTACGTGTGTATATGTGTATATTTTTAGTGTTCACACATGCGCATATGCATACATGCGTATGCATACGGCCAGTGCTGTGTAATCCTTACAGCTAGATCAACCTAAGCGCACCCAGATTTCCCGCAGTGTTTTTCACAACTGTCGGTTGGATGCCAGGGCGTACCCGGATGAGCCCCTAAGGCATCACGTGGCCAACAGGAGGCCAAGCAGGAAATTGGTGCCGTCGTTCTGGAGGTCTCGCCGATCTCTCGCTGCCAGCAGGGGCCCAGGCGCTCCCCCAAGCCGCGAAGATGCAAACACGGCAACAGATGCAGTCGGCAGCAGGTTCTGTTCGTTTTCCCCGCCCTTCTTTGCGACGACCAGGCTCTGGATCGGGCCCCTGAGTTCGCAAGCGGTGCTTTCGGGTACAGTTTTTTGGAAGACACCCAGATTCCAACTGGACTTGACGCTTGGCCTTGCGTGATCAAGCTGGTCTCGAGTCATCTGTTTGGGCCGAGGGAACGGAGCGTATTGAGAAAAGGGGGTGCGAAACCTGCTGCATGAAGCTGGTCTCAGCTTCGCCGCCGGGCATTTTCTTCGATAGTTGGGCGCCTGGAGGCGCCAGGACGCGCGGGGAAAACCGGCTACGCGAGATGATTCGCCCCCGTTGATATGGGGCCCTCCTCGTTCTCCGCCCGAGGGGACTAGTGTTAAGTCGGGCATGTCCCTGTACAGGATGAATATTGAAAAATAGTGGAACACAGTTTGGTGCCCATGTTTCATCGCATGTCCAAAATACTCCAAACACAATCTGGAAATAGTTTCTTGGATACTGGCTAGGCGAACGCACGGTGAACCCAGTTGGAAAACACGATGCGCCGCGCGGCGCCACCATTATTTGTTTCGCCGCGCTTGGTGGCGGCAGCGCGTGTCATCGGGTTTTCGCAAAGTCGCGCGTTTATGGCGGTGTGTTTTGTGAGGGTCGACCGCGCGTGACTGGGTGGCGCGTCGATGCGATTAGATCTTGCGCGCGGCGTGGGCAATTCGACGAATGCGCTCTGGGCAGCCGGCAGTGGCTTTGCAGATGTGGAATATTGTTTCTTGTTCCATTTTGTTACGCGCGTCCACAAAATCCGCCAGATCAGTCATTGTAGCCGCTGGCCACAAAGTTCTCGCTGCAAGACCCCAATCTCCCCCCCTATTTACTCCCTCGCTCCTGCGCGCCATCATTGTGCATCATCCCCGCCCTACTTCCTCTCAACAAGGGTGGTGTGAATAGACCAGCACTTACCGCGTTCGGCCAGTGGGCTTGTCTCGGCAATCGCGCGCGGTATATTGCGCGAGGGGCAATCGTGACCGGACAAGGCATAACCCCGTTGATGCAGATGGAACGCGGAAGTGGTGGGCTGGGGGTTGTCTGTGAGTCAGGTTGGCTGCAACAGGGCGCAGGATCACGTTAGAGCTGGTTCGGGGTAGGGCAGAATTGGGGTCGGCGTGGATATGTCATATATATATATATGTCATATATATATACAACCGCCAGCTCTTATCCTAAATCGAAGAGGAGGCTTGCATGTGCCGTTGCAGTGGGGTAGGGTAAGTAAGGGTACCATTTGGCGCGTGATGGGGAGAAGTACGATTGGGGCTACATGCGTATATTTGCATATAACCTCACAAGCGCCGCATAATCGATCCTCACCCATTGGATCGGCGAGGTGGTCGCGAGGATCGCGCGGAACCGAGGATAGGGCGCGTTCGACCAGGGGAGAGCAAGATGCCTACTTGCGTACGTGTGCACGTCTGTACACGTAAACTCATGTGCGCAGATCGGTGAGCCCAATGCGTACGCTTTAAAGCAGAACCGGAAGTCTCTGGCGCGCCCCAATCGTCGCCGGCGCCGTCGGGGCATCCAGTGTACAGACAGGCGTCGTCGCCGGCGCAGCATTAGTACCTCGGACACCCGGAGCGAGTGTCCGACTTGCCCTTCGAGTTAACATAACACTAAAGCGCAGGATGTCGCGCGCTTGCCGACCGCGCCAAAGACTCCACTGGAGGATTTCAGGCACAATTCGCGCGCGCAACATACCCCAACAATACATTCCACAGGTTTCAAACGCTCACAACATACTCCCCTTATATTTTCATGTTTGAGAAACGCCCGCAGATTTCGCGCGCTCCCAAACATACTCCTAACATATCAAAAACTTACCCAGCAATTGTCCAACGATCCTCACATGCCATTTGCGAAACTTTTAAACACTTCAGAGATGTTGCAACGCCGTCTGCGCCATTTCAAAAGATTCCAAAGATGCTCCAGCGCCGTATGCGACATTTCCAAAGCACTCCAAGGATAGTCCAATTTTGCGGGTTTTTGGAATATTCTAAAGACGCGCCAGTGCAATTCGCTAATTTTGGGAATACCTCAAAGACAATCCCCTTCCATTCGCGAGATGCCCCCGCGGCGCCCGTTGAGATTTTAAAATGCCGCATGAGACGCTCACCGACCGTCTGCGAAACAGCAAAACACTCCAGGACGCAGCGCGTTGACATCTTCGACGGGTTCGCGTCTTCCAGAAGATCCCCCGCGTGTTTTCCAGAAAACACAACCTAAAAGTGGGCCCCGCGGCCTTTCCTCGAGAACACGAAAAACTCTCGGCAATGCCCCCCCCCCCTCTCCCCCACTTCGCCCGACATAGCGCTGCTGCGGCACGTGATTCAGTGGGCTCGCTAGCGGCTCCGATGCTCTGAGTCAGGGTTGCCAAACGCGCGACGCCCTTTGCTGATGCGGTTCCCTCTTGGGCTGAACAGCGCACCGCTATATTGCGGAACGCATGTCGTTCCGCGCCACAGAGGCATCGAAGCCTCATTCTGCTTGCTCGATCCCGCTGGGGGACTACCTGGCTCTCAACGCGCGCACGCATCGAACATGTGATGCGTCCAGACGGAAAACTGCCAAGACTTTTGCACCCATTTTTGGATCCAGTTTTCTGGCGCACCCGCCCTCGTTTTGATGGACAACCATTTGCAAATTTGCAAGGGGCGGAGGGAAGGCGTGCGGGAGGGGGGGCGGTCGATCGGTCGATCGGAAGATGGATCGATCGACCGATCGATAAAAAGGACGAGTTTGCGGCGTTCCGCCAGCCCCCGCGGGCCCCTTTTTTTGCGGCGCTTTTCGTTTTGCCATCTGTACGCGTTGCGATCAGCGGTTGCCTTTGGATCATATGCGCGTTTGGATTGGCTGTTTTTTGGTGCCCCCCCCCCCCCGCGCGCCCTCCAGGCGCGCGCTGCGTCTGTCGCGTGTCCTCGAGGTGAGCACAGCGGCAGCGAACCGCGCGGAGCAGGATGAGTGCGCGGCAGGGCCGGTTCGCTCTCGGACGAACGCGAAGCCATTGAATGTGCAACGAGTTTCGCCGCCTCTTCCTCTGCCCCCGCCCGGGCGCCGCCGAGGCCTTGTCGGGGCCGGGTCCAGACGCGCGGCCCACTGCCTCCGCATGGCTACCGCCACCCCCCGCCGATGCGCAGAGGCCCCAGAGGGCGTTGGCACGGGCAGATGCGTCACTCGGCGTCCTCCCCCGCCTCCTCCCGTCTCCTCGCGCCCCCCCTCGCTCTTTCAGGCCTTTCCGCCTTCTCCTCCTCTTTCGCCTTCTCTCCCCTCTCTTGTCCCACTTCGTCCTGGTCTCCCTCCCCCTCGTGCTCGTGATCTTCCTCCTGCGGCTGACGATGGCGGCTTCCACTCCCAAGGCCGCCCTCGGACGGGCCGCCCCGCCTGCGCGGTAGTCGTGCCCTGCCCCCTGCAACTCCTCTGATTAATTGCCTTACGGTTGGCGTGCAGACGCCTTTCCCCACGACCCTAAGTCGCCTTGCATCTAGCCCATGTAGCCGCGTCCTCGACTTCCTTCTCCATGTTTCCCCTCTCCTTTCCGCCTTGTCGTGCGGCTCTCCTTTCGCCTTGCCGTTCACATCCTCGCCTTCGTGTGCGCCACATGGGTGCAGTGATTCACATGAGCGCTGGCGCTGGGCTAGGCTTGCGCAGGACATCAAGGATCGGCGCATGTGGTAGGGTTCTGTCTTGTATGAAGTTTCCATGTGGAGCAGACCTTGCGAGAAGGGGCGCGGCGATATTCCTGGCCCACCTTTACCAGAAGACGATGGCGGCGATCGGAGCAGTGTATTTTGGCGAAGACAGGAGATTGCACACATAATGTGCAAGTGCGACGTCAGCGCGTTGACCCGAAGTTGTCGATTCGAGTAGCAGTGTGTTTGTGTGCATGAGTGTGCGCGCGTGTGTGTGTATGTGTGTGTGTGGGTGTGTGAGTGTGTGGATCCCATACTTGCGGGCCCCTGCGCATGTAGATCCCAGAGTTAGTAGACAGACCGTAGCAGCCGCACCAACGAGCAAGGGTGTCAGAACAACTGACCACTGCGAGCCCAGGTAGCCACAGCCCTAGCGGTCCAGGTGCCAAAGGGCGAGGGCGGAAACAGTCCATACCAGCCGTCTGGTCCAAGCACCAACGGGCGAGTGCGAAACACATACCATGCAAGCAGCCGGAGGCAGAGCGGTCCAAGCACAAATGGACGAGGGCGGAAGACAGACCATGGCTGTCCAAGCAGCCAAAGCAATGGCGGTCCAAGCACCAGCGGCCGAGGGTGGAAGAAACGCTTTGTCAGTCCAGGCAGCGAGGTTACACACTTGTGAGGGCGACGGAGGGGACATAGCGGTCCAAGAAGCCAAACCCATGGAGCGGTCTCAGCAAGAACGGCCGACCATCCCCCAGAGTTCAAGCACGGATATCGCGGAAGCACATTGCCCATGCCGACAATCCAGGCCACGAGCGATACAGCAGGGACTGGTCAGGTAGGGCAGACAAAAGTCCTGGCTACAATATCGATCGACCAGAGACGAGTCTCAGTGGCCGCAGTGCTGTGGAGAGCAATGGAGAGACGATGCAGCCCACGTCACGTCCTGGAAGTATCACGCTCTCCAGATTCTGGCCCAGGCGCAGATTTCAGACGTCGCCCGGCCCGTCCCGTTTGGTATCCGCCGCCTTTTGCACGCTAGAAGGCGGACTTCAGCATTGCAGACGCCGTCCACGGACTCCGATGGTGTTCTGCAGCCAGCTTGGGACAGTAGACGTACGTGCCAAAACACAATTGAAACGGAACGGTCGGATGGGCACTAAGATGTGAGATTTCATGAGTTGTCTCCCCTGGCCCCCATCTACGTAATTATCCTTTCTTCTTCTCGCTCCTTGTCCCTCTCCCCAGCGTCCTCCGCCCGCCTCCCTAATCTCCCTCCAATTACGCATCTCCCCACCCCTCCTTCTCTCCATTTGCCCTGCCACTGACTCCGCCCCCCACCAGTGAGGAAGCCCCCAAAGGGGGCCGGCGGACTTGGCCGGCTAATGTCGTCGTTGCCCTTGGAGGGGCGTCTGTGCCGGCTCGTGCTCATGGGGCGCCCCGTGGAGTGCAAAGCGCCCCTTCCTTCCTCTGCAGTCCTCCACCTCGTCATCTCAGTCGTCTTCCTGCTCCCTCCTTCTTCCCCCCCTCCTCCTCCCTCCTTCCTCCTCCTTCTTCCTCCTCCTTCTCGCCCGCCTCCCTCCTCCCTCCTCCTCTCCCTCCTCCTTCTTCCCCCTCCTCCCTCCTCCTTCTTGCCCTCCTCCCTCCTCCTTCTTCCCCCCTCCCCCTTCTCGCACCCCCGCTGCGCCCTCCCGCCGTCGTCCTCCCTCCACTTGCCACTCTCATCCCGCTCCGCTCCTTCCTCGGCCAGCTTCCTCCATCCGCCCGCCTCCTTCCTGCGTCGCCTTCCCCAGCCTGTTGCTCCTCATCCTCTCCCTGCTTCCCCTGTGTCGCCCCGTCGGGTCCCGATTATCCCCCCGCCTCCGCTCCATTGTCCCCCTCGCACTCTGCTCTACACTACCGTCTCACGGCCGTTGTGGCTCAGCGCTCACCTTCAGCTCCTCTCGAACGATCGCCACCAGCGCCGCTGGGGCTGGGCGGCGAGCAGTGCTCCGACGAAGGACGCGCTGCATGCGCCTGTATGGTCGGAGCTCGCGCGGACTTCCTGGGTCGGCGCTGGAACCCCCCGCCTCCCTGGCACGCGAGGAGAGTGCCAGGAGCGGGCCCGAGGCACTGCCGGCGTCGTTCAACGCCGAGTCCACTTTGTTTGATCTGCGGCCCGCAAGGAAGAGTCCAGAGGGCGTGTCAATCAGGCTAACTGGGGCACAGAGCCAGATGATTCGGGCAACGTGCAGGCAAAATGGGGCAAACGGGCAGACGGGCAGCCGCGCGTGGCGACGTTGCACCAGCACTAGGAAGCCAGGCGCCACGCCGAGTCCACGCGGACTCCCGCAACTTTCGGCTCGTGCCGGTCTTTGGCTTCACTGACTTTGCCCTCGAGGCGACGATCGCCGCCCACCAAGCCACACCATCCCAACCCGAAGGCCCCCATTTGTCCTCCGTTTCCAGTGGGGGGGGGGGCCGGGGCACATGGAAGAAAAACACACACATATGAGGCCCCTACCCCCCCCCCCCCCCCCCAACCCGAGATTAGGGTTTCTGGGTGGGGCTGGGGCTGTCTGGTAGGCAGCCCGACGACGAGCAGCTGCCGAGGCCGCCTCGCAGGGCCTCGCCGGGCGGCGATCCGCTCTGCCCTCCCCGGGGGCGGCGCCGGGCACCGCCGTCGCCACGCAGGGGCGACTCGGGGGGCGGCCTCCGCGGCGGCCTCCGCGGCCGCTCGGGCCGGCGGCCGCGCGGCGCGCCCGCGGGCCGCTCGGGGCCTCTATGCGGGCGAGCTGGCGCCCGCCGAGCGAGGCGACGCTGCGCCGGCGCTGGGCGTGGTCGAGATGGCCGTCGCCGTTGAGGTCGCCGATGAGGTCGCCGTCGCCGTCGTCGTCGTCGTAGTAGTCAGGAGGTCGTCGTTGTCGTCGTGATGCCGTCATCGTCGTCGTGACGTCGTCATTGAGGAGGTCGTCGTCGTCGTTCGGGGCCAAGGCCGGCAGCGTGGGGCCCAGATCTCCGACGATGTGGTGTCTTCGGTCTGGGCGCGTTTCCCGTGTTTCGGCTTCAGGGGCCGCTGCAGGGCCCCGGGGCCATCAGAAATCAGAAGGGTCAGAAACACACAGACACAATTAATCCTCGATTCCCTAGAACATATAGGAAAACATAGGAAGTGGGGGGAAGACAGAGACCCAGAGAATATGGGAAAATATGGGGACTGACTTTGTTTGTGTGTATTTATTTGTGTGTCCTGGGGCCCCTTCAAGAAAGGGACCCAGGACGCAGACCACCCCTGGGGGGGATTGGGCGGGGCAGCTGGGGCCGCTGGCAACCGGGGACCCGTCGACCGGCGGTCCCCCTTGGCAGGGGCGAGCAAAAGGGCGCTCGGGTGGAGCATGGAAGCGTGACGGGCTCAGCGCTATCGGGGACCTCCTCCTCCTCCCTCCTCCCTCCTCCTCCTCCTCCTCCTCCTCCTCCTCCTCCTCCGCCTCCTCCTCCGCCTCTCCCTTCCGCGACCTCCTCCCCTCCTCCCCAGTGGTCATCCTCCTCTAGGTCCCAGGTCTTCTGGCGGACCCGGGTTTGGGAGCGACCTGCCGAGGCTCAGCGCTGTCGGGGATCAGCAAGCGGCCTGCCGAGCAGGCTTCGGTGGCCCCGTAGGAGACAGGCTTTTTTCCCACCCTGGATGCAACTTTTTATGTCGATGTGACTTGGTGAAGATAACTGCGCTGCAGAGGTCCGATATGTATATATATATATATATATATAACAATAACGCGCCCTCCTAGGTCCTAGGTCTTCTGGCGGACCCGGGTTTGGGAGCGACGGGGGCCGGACCCCCTCTCGCCCCTCTTTGCGCTGACCCAGGTTGGGTACTGCCGTGTGGCCGTCCAGGGTCCGCGACGTGGCCCTGGCTGACCTGGGTCCCCGTGGCGCTGGGCCTGCATCCGACGAGGGGATGGGCGACGGCGGCTGGCGGCAAGAAAGGAAGTTCGCAGCTCAGCAGGTGTCGCTACACATTCTCGAGGGATTGCTGGGCTCGTCGGGCAATCTGGCGCTGCCTGCTGGGTTGGCTGCAGCCCCAAGGCGCTGGCTCCAGGTGTATTAATAACGATGCCCTTCCGGACACTCAGTGCCTACAGTGTTTTGCTCACTGCACGGATATGGTATGTATCGCGCCAAAGAAGACAAGCTATACCAGGATGCATGGGCGAAGACGGTGTTCTGCAACTTGGCGTCTGCCATTTGGGGAGACATTCCTCGCTTGCGTGAGCTAGTTGATGGTCATTGGAGACTGTGTTCGGTTGCGTTGGCACTCCTGGATGTGCACCTGGACGCAAAAAAGGATGACATCAATTGTCACACTTCTGGTGTTGCTCCCGCTCTGCATTCTAAATTCGCTTGCGTTCCTGGCGAAGTGTTCCAACCTTGGGATGGTGGCCGCCATGTGCACGATGGTCATTTTCGCTTATTGCCATTTCGGTGGATCACATGTAGTGGGCGCCTCGCTTTTCCATGCCACCGTTCTCAAGCCGCACGTCGAGCACCCACTCCGACGGAGTTGCTCAGGCCGCGATGCTGACCCCGTCCTCCGCGGTCATCCGGTGCACGCAGCGCACGCTGGACGCTACAGTCCCCCTCTGTTCTGGGCACAGCTGCGACCAGGGATAGGTGGACCCATGAGCAAACGTATGGCTGAAACTTCGCTGGCCCCCCGTTGGCGGCGCCGCCCCCAGTGCGCTTCGCGCGCGGGGGAGAGGGGGGGGGGGTCTGACGTCGATCAGAAGATATCTGCCCGGACCTCCGACAGCCCATCTTCATGCAAACCACCGCGCTTCATAAGTATAGACGCTTCGTGTATCCCCCCTTGCCCATGTATTCAAATGTTCCGCGGCTATCGGCTGCACCTCCTCTTCCCCCCCGGCGCCACCGACGACTTCTGAGGGGTGACGACACCGTGCAGTGTGGCTCTGGCCACTTCCTGGGTCACCTCCGTGGGATGAGGCGTTCCCTCTCACACTGCGTGGTGGTGCGGTGCTCGCCCTGGGTGGCGTGGGCCGGCCAGTGGCATCGCGTAGGCCGGGCCTGCCCGCGTCGTGGCCGTTCCGCTGTTCGGCGCCTTCGCCCAGGGGTACGGCTTCCAGTTCATGTGGCGCATTCGGTGGCAGGTCACTTTCCTCCTGGCCGACGTTTCCCCCCAGGTTGCCGACCTGTCCGACACTTGGTAGGTGACGTCGTCCTCCCGTGAAGTGGACCTGTGTCGGCTCGCCGGCGAGCACATGGTGCTCCATGAGTGAGTCCCTCCTCTTTTCCCCTTTGCTTCGCTCTTCTGTCCCCCCGCTCCTTCTCCCCTGCCTCGCCCTGGTCGGCGCCTGGCTCCTCGTGCTGGTGCAACGTCACCACGCGCGGCTCGTGTGGCTCGTGCTCGCCCCCTTCCCTCCCCCCGCTCGGCGCTCGGCGTGTTCGTGCTGGTGCAACGTTACCAGGCGCGGCCCGTCTGCTCCTCCATCCAATCTTCCTGCTGAATTTGTCCAGTGCAGGGTATGTGTTTGCCCGCTGGTCTGGTCGGCTGTTGTTTGGACGGTCGGTCTAATATTCTGGCATGGTCCCACTGTCGTCCTGTTCTGCATGTTGCACGTGCGTGGGTTGGCGCCCTCTTGGCGGCTTCCTCCATTTGTGGCCTGGCCCTCACTAATTATCTGGCATTGCGCCCCATTGCCTGTGATTGGCACGCCCTCTCGATTTTTCCTTGCGGGCCGCCGAACAAAAAGTGTATCCCCCCCTTGCGAGCGGGCCGGCCAGCCTGCGCCTGTCTTAGCTAATTCGCCTAGTTCGCGTCCCGGACTTTGCTCTCGCCGCCTGACCGTCGTCTCGTGGCCGCGACCGAAAAAGTATCCCCCCCTTGCCCATCACGTAAAGATCGTCGGACGACTTGTTCTGGCCAGGGAAGCGGCGGAGCATGCAGAGAAACAGAGAGACAAGGCAGCCATCACGCTGAAGTTCGGGATCCGCCTGAGCATGCCCAGGGACAGAATTGCTGAGCCTGCCGTCGAAGGAGGGGGAGGCGGAGGCGGAGTAAAAAATGGATACAGAGGAGGTGGAGAGAGGAGGACGAGGTGGTGTAGGAGTAGGAGGAAGATGGAGGAGGAAAAGGGCCACGCCGACAACGACAACGACGACGCAATAGGATTGCGTAGCACAGCGTATGCTGCAGAAGCCTCCGCGTGCAATGCCCTTTTTGGGAAGCCTTCGAGGACATCTATCAACACGAGGGCGGCGCAGTTTAGCGCCGCCCTCTCAGGGAGCCCTTTTTTCGGGATGGCTTTGGAGTGCTCTCGTGCGATCTAGGGGCCGTCTTGAACCCCTGGGCCCCTCTAGAAGCTCTCCTGGACGATCTGGTGCCAACTTTCAGCCCTCATAGGCCCATCTCAAGCGACAAGGCGATAACCACGCTTTATGTTACACACCGTGTGTCGTTTATGCGTCTTGGCATCGGGGGGCTACCTGTGGCCACCTGGATCCGTCTCGGGTTTCTCCTGTGGCCTCTGGGTGGCGTGTTCGAAGTCATGCGAGCCACCGCTGGTTAGCTTGAACCACGTCGGAGACCATCATGAGCATTCGGAGGCTATCGTGAGGCCATGGCGGGTTACCCGCTTCCTTATCAGCATTCTCCCCTTTCTGGTCCCCTTCCTTGTCTTGCCTCATTTTGGTCCTCCTCCCCCTCCCCCTCCTCCCCGTTCTTCCCCCTGCTCCCCCCTTCTGCGCCTCCCACTCTTCATTATCTAGCTCCACCTCATTCATTCTCTCATTCTACCCATCCTTCCCTGTCTACACCCGGGGAACCTCATGCAGATGTTTAGGTCCTAAAGTGTTTCCCGTGGAAGGGTGGCTTCCCTCACCGCCGTCCTCGTGCTTACTAGTTGGTGGAGAAGAGCGGTCGAACTAAAAACAATTCCCCTATCCAAATCATCATCATCATCAGCATCATCAGCATCATCATCATCATCATCAGTATCATCAGTATCATCATCATCATCATCATCATCATCATCATCATCATCATCATCATCGCTCCCCCTTTCTCCCCTTCCACCGTCCACATCATCTTCATCAACACCATCGTCAGCATCATCATCATCAGTCGTCATCCTCGCTCCCCTTCCGCAGTTTCCTTCCCCCTTCCTCTCCCCGATCCCCCCTCTGCATGATCCTCGGCGCTGCGCGTCGCCGATGACGAGCCTGCGTTTCCCCCCCTCGTGTTCTTCCCCCCCCTCCTCCCTCCCCGCCTGTTCCTCGTCCTCCCTCTCTCCCCATCCCCGCCTATAATCATCAGCACCACCATCATCGTGGCATCATCATCATCGTCGTCCTCCTTGTCATCATCGTCAGCATCGTCGCCACCATATTCTCAAATGTCATCAGCAGCAGCAGCAGCATCATCATCATCACCACCATCGTCGTCATATTCGTCGTCGTCATCGTCATTATCATGATCATGATCATCATCATGCCCCCTTCCTCTCACCCTCATCTTCTCCTTGCCCCCCTCCCTCGTCCACATTGTCATCGTCATCATCCTCGCTCCCATCCTCAGTGTCCTTCCGTTTCGTTCCTTTCTGCAGCGATTTGGAACGTGCACAGAATGGTAAAAGGGTGTGGGGCACTATGCGGAAATAGGCGTTGCTCCTCTGAAGGTGCATCAGTCAAAGCATCACTCGAACAAGGAAGATAAGTGGAGGGGGACGTCCCGATATTGGTACCAATCCCTGCTTGCTAGTCCCAAACCCTGCCCGTTTGGGACCAATCCTGGCTGGATCGGTGCCAATTCCGACTGGGAATTTCCTTTTAGAGTTATTTCTTCAGCGATAGTCTTAACACTTCTGCCATAGTAGTTAGAAGATGTCTTAAGTAAGATTGCGCACGACGTGTCCAGAAGACGACTTGAGTAACACTTCTTACGAAATGTGCTTCAGGCATATGACGCACGATTATTTAAGAAATGCCCCGACGATCTCTTAGATATTACGTGTTGCAAGATACTCTTAAGGCTTCTTAAGTGGTACTTCTTAGAGGGTACGATTTAAGATGTCTGATCCTAGGAAGTACTGCTTAAAAAGTACTACTTAAAATGTCTGAGAGGCCTCTTGGGCAGATGTCTTCGGATTCCGTTCGGCTTTCTTAGGCTCCATTCGGAACTGTATACGTTTCACACAGGAAGCGCAGACGAGCCAGAGGGGAATCAATGGCAGACGGTTCACATAGGAATCGTCGACGATTCAGGTAGGAATTGCATACGACCCATGTGCAACACGTATACGATTTACATCGGAATTGTTTCTGGTTCGCGTGGGAATCGTACGGCCCACATCGGAATCCCACATGCATCACATCGCATTCGTACGCGATTCACGTAGCAACCGCAGGCGGTTCAAACAGGAAGCGTATACAATGCGCGTGGGACTTGCATGTGGTCCACATGGCTGTATACGGTTCACAATGGAACAGTGTGCGAGTCACATTAGAAACTTAGTTTCACATGACATGCGGGCACGTTTCACGTAGGAGTCTTCTACGAGTCACATTGGGACCGTCGTCGATTTTATTCGCATGAGTATACGATTCATACCGGATTCGTACGAGCTGTACATGGGAGCCGTTTGCGATCCACATCGAAGCAGTATACGATTCACACTGGAACTGCATGCGACTCACACAGGAGTCGTAGACAACATTTTTTCCACATAGGGCCCGTTTATGATTCCCATCGGATTCGCATACGATGCACGTGCAAGTCTTATACGATTTACATCGGAACCGCTTACGGTTCACACCTGGTGCGTTTACGGTTCGCATAGGAGCCGTATACGACCCACATAGAAATCGCACGCATGTTTGGTAGGATTCGTACACGATTCACATAGTAGGAATCGTGTGCGATTCGCACAGAACTCGTTTACGATGCGCGTAGGATCGGTATAGGATTTAAATGGGCCCGTATACGATTCACATGTGGAACCGCTTACGATTCATATATGGATTTCTAAACAGTTCACTTTGGAACCGTCTACGATCCACATAGGATCCGTGCACGATTCACCTAGGAAGCGTATCGGGTTCACGCAGGAATCGTAAGGACATACCTTTACATAGCAAGCGACTTACGTTGGAGTCGTGTACGATTCACAGGGGAGTCGTATGCGTTGGAACCGTAAACGGTTCACAAGGGAACCGTGCACGATTCACGTCGGAATTTCATATTGTGGGATCGTACGCCATCCACACATTACAATAAAATCGTATGCAATTCACGCGGTTCGTATACGGTTCACATATGATTCGTATACGATTCACCCAGGATGCCTCAGGCACCGCAGAAACAGGGACCAATCCCGACGATGGAAGATGGAAAGTTCGACTCGGCGCCCTTAAGCATAGAGCATATTATTTTTGTTCTGCAGCGTCTGCAAGATGTGGCTGCTTTTCCCGATTATTGACAAGGGTAGCCTGGATTCGCCCCATTCTAAGCCACAGGCAGCCGGGATTGGCCCCAGGCGGCCGGGATTGGTACCAGTTCGCTGGGATCGGTTCCTCTACCGTGTTCCCCCCCCCCCCCGTCCTCGCCCCGAGACCCCCGCAGGCTCCTCTTCGGCGCGCCATGCGACGCCCTGGTCATGGCCGCCGGGCTGGCCGTGGAGGACCCCTTCACCCGCCCCAGCAGCCAAGGCGGCCCGCACTCGCCCACCCGTCCTGGCGCGCGCCTCGCCCACCCGTCCTGGCGCGCGCCTCGCCATCCGTATCCGCGGCCTCGCGGGCCAGGCCCTTGGGCCGCGACCCCGCGGATACGGATGGCGTGTTGCCTCGGACGTCGCACGCGGAACGTGTCCGTCCGACCGCGTGTCCGCGGGATCGCGCCCCAGAACTGAATTCGCGAGGGCGCGGATACGGTATACGGGCATGTCCGCCGCTCGTGAGACGTCTTCGCCGCTGGCGCGCGCCGGGCCGTCCGGACAATGTGGCGCGCTCCAGGGAGGGCCTCGTCTTCGAAGATGGAAGGGGTTGGCATCTCTTCCTCGGCGGAGCGCGGCGGAAGGCGCGGCGGAAGCTAGCAGAAGCAAGACGAGGCCGCCTCCGCAGTGTAACTCGCTCCGAAAAAAGGGGGCCTGGCTTTGAGGGTCGAAGGAGTTGCCGTCTCGTCCTCGGCGGAAGGGCGGCGGAAAGCGGCGGAAGTAAAGCGAGGCCGCCTCCGCCGGCGGAAAACGACGGAAGGTTGGTGGAAGGCGGTTGGAGTAAGAGATGCGCCCACGAACAATTTTTCGGGGTCAGATTTATGGAGCCCGCCATGTGTTCTCCCAGCCGTTGTGTACCCGACGATCCTGGGGTCGTAATTTCTTCGCAGCGGGCGATGTTGTCTTGTTTCGGGCCCCGTGGCCATCATATCTCGATCCACTTCGACACACGCCGCAAAAAGTTGGGGTCTAGGGCTCCAGACCATCTTTTTCTAGATGCATTCTTCTGAATATTGGATATGTTGGAGAGGAAGAGGAGGAGGAGCAGGATCAGGAGGAGGAGGAGGACGATGAGGCCTCTTGAGGCCCTCTTGGGGCCTCCTTGGTGGCTTTCTGGAAGCTTGTTGGGGGCCTCTGAGAGGCCTCTTGTTGGCGTCTTTGTCCTCCTGGCCCCCCCGCCAGTGGCACCCATCAGCTCGGCCACATTTGGGGCCGCTTGTGCCTTGCGCTGTGACCGAGCGTGCGGATGGATAGGGTGTCGCTCTTAGTTGAGGTCACCAGCGCTTGGGGTGTTCGTGTTCGTTTTCAAGGTTTCGAGCTTCGGCCCAAAACACCGGAAATCAAGACATGAACACACATGCAATTCAGAACGGAACCGGACCGAAAGCAGCGCGAAGGATAATCCTACTACGGAAAATTGACCCCCAAAACGGACAGCACCAAAACACGACGGTTTTGAAATCCGACATAATGAGCCCCCCCCAGCGTTCATGAGAGCATCTACGGATGGCGTGTCGCCAACCCTGCAGTACCCTCCTGGGCGGTTACAACATGTCGGCACGTCGCAGTCGTGCCGCGCGCCGGCAGCGTCTGCGGTGTCTGCGGCCGCCGGGCGCGCCATCTCAAGCGATCTGTTGGGCCCGAAGGGCTCATTTTCGATGAATGCTTTCTCTGGCCGCACGGGTTCCAGTAGATCGTGTAGGAGACCGTCTTTCCCCCAACGGGCGTGAATTGGGCGGGGAGGAGGAGGCCAGTCACGGCACTTTTCGTGCTGGCGCCCCCTGGTGCTCAGGAATGGCTGCTTCCCAGAAGGCGTCAGCGCGAATCGTGATGTGACCAGGGGGGCGAGGGAGGGGGGGGTGCGGGGCTGGTCACGGGCATTATCGCGAATCATAACACGGACTCCAGGCACATGGTTCTCATCACTGCTGTTACTTCGATCCGATCGGTTCCGTCTGTTCCATCGGTCGCCACGAGGCGGCCCAAGAGGCTCCCCGAGAGTGCCATGGCACGGTGCGTTTGGGCTCCCGAGGGTTGTTGAGCCTTGTTCTGAAAGTGTTTTGCGATGCTTTTTGGGGGACGCGGAGTCGGTTTGGGTGGGCTCGGCTCCCCAGGCGCTACATATACACACACGCACACACCCACACACCCACACACTTGTTTACCATGCGAACAGGGCGCCCAACGGCTGAGGGGGAGCAGGGGAGGGGAGGGGAGGAGCAGGAGAAGCACCGAATTAACTAGTCTGGTGGCCCTGGCCGGGCCCGCAGCCGCGCCTCCAGAGCGGTACGCCAGGCCTCCGCGCCACCGCCGGCGCGCACCGCTGGCGTGAGCGGCAGCATCGCCGCCCGCGGGGGCAGCGCCGGCGCCCACCCTCGGCAGGGCCTCGCCGACAGCTGCGCCCACCGCGCCGCCGAGGCGCCGCAGCGCAGGCACGCCACCCCTCCTGGGCCCTGCGCCGCAGTTTGTGCGCCCTCCACGCGGCGCCTGCGAAAAGGGCGCGCGCCGCCTCGGCTGGCGCAGGAGGCGCGACGGCCCCGCCTGCCTCCATCGCTGCCCGGGTCCGTCGCCGCGGCGGCGGACGTGGGGCTGGAGCCGCCGGCGCCGCGGGCAGGGGCCGAGCCTTCCAGGCGGGGCGCCGGGCCTCCGCGCGGCCGTCCAGCGGCGGCGCCCGCGCGGGCCCTCGGGCCCGCGGCAGTCGTGGTCGGCCCGCAGGGCCGCCAGCTCGACCGCGGCGAGCACGCGCTGGGCCGCGGTCAGCGCCGTCGGCTGGAAATCGCGTTCCACGCAGATCTCTGTCGGAGGGAGGCGGGCTCTGGCAGCCGCTCCCGCCAGGCGGTCGGCAGCCGCATTGCCCTTCGGGCCCTCAGCGGACAGCCCCCTGGCGAGCGCTTCCTCGGCAGTCGTGTGACCCTTGACCCATCGCGCCGTGAGGAACCCGCTCTGGCCATGCGCCGCGACGCGCTCCCAGAGGTCGGAACGCGCCCAGTCGAGGTAGCACGCGCCGGCGCGCAGGGCGACTACGCCATTGCAGACGAAGCGGGAGCCCGTGATAACCTTTACGGGCGCCCCCGCAAGGCTGACTGCGTGGACCGCGGCGGTCAGCTCTGCCCGCTGCGCGGTCTGCGCCGCGTCCACTGGACCGCTGTGGTCGCTCATGCCGCTGGGCCCTTCCAGACGCAACCCCCAGGCCGCCTGGGCCAACAGGGGGTCCCGCGGCCGCTCGCACGCCCCGTCGGTCCAAGCCCTCGTGTGCGGCTGTGGCGGCATGGGCATCGGGGCTGCTGGGAGCGGGGCTGGCGGCAAGGTCCGAGTGGCCTCCTCGGCGAGGGCGGCAAGCCCGACATCCGTGGCCAGCACGCCCGTGTTAGCCACGCCTGGCGGCAACCGCGCAAGCAATGCGTTCTGCGAGATCTCCGCCGTCGCCAGGGCGGCCGCCCTGTCAGCGCTCCAAGCCGGGCAGACCCAGAAGCGGTGCTCGCGGTCCTCGCGGGCGGCGCCGCAACGGGGGCATCGGGCCGGCCTGCCCCACTTCGCCGCCACCGATTCCGTGACGACGTTCCCAGACAATATTGCGCGCAAGGCCCTGGCCGCGTCTGGCGCTAGGGCCCCCGCCTCCAGCAGCCGCCTGGTCGCCCAGCGGTCCACCCCACGCGCGACATGCGCGAAGTCAGCCCTCCTGCCTGCCACGGCAGCCGCCTCTCGGCGCGCCCATGCCTCGAGGAGCACGGTGCGCGTGGACTGCAGTGGCTGGTCGGCGGGGCGCCATCCGTCCAGGCGAGCAGGGACGCCAGTCCAGCACTCGACGTCGTCGCCGAGGCGGAGCTGCGCCAGACTCCACGCGGCCGCGGCGACAGGGCCGGCGCCGCGGCCGTGCCCGGCCGCTCGGGCTCCGTCCGTTGCCCGCCAGAGCGCTGAGGGGAAGCGACCTCTGCGGAGCGCCTTCGCCGCCTGCCACAACGGCGCGAGGGCGACGACCGCCGCTGGCACCAGCCGCCACGTCGGGCTCAGGACCCCGAACACCACTTCTGCGGCAGCGCGGAATCCGCCTCGGCACACGGCCTGCCTCGCCGCCGCCCGCAGTCCGGCCAGCTCCTTCGCCGGTGGGCGGCCGCACGAGGCGCCGTGCAGTGCTGCCGCGGTGCTGGCGGCGGCGCCCAGCATGCATCGGTGTTGGAACTCCAAGGGGAGCCGCCCGATCCGCGCGAACCGCACCCCAGCGGCGCGCGCCCTGGAACCTTCAACGCTGCAGCGGGGCACTCGACCCGCGGCGGCGATCACCCCGAGGTCGCGGAACTGGCGCCCAGCAGGAATCAGAGGCGTTTGGGCCGCCAACCAACGGCGAAGCGCCGCGGTGTTCGCGAAATGCCTGCTCTTGTCGCGATTGAGCCGCCAGCCCATGGCGAGCTCGAACACGGCAGTGATGGCCAGCGCGCCGGCGACCGACTCCGCCACCTCGTCGGCCTCGCCGTGGCCGCCCCGCGCCCACAGCGTGAAGTCGTCGACGTAGATGCGCCGCCGGAGCTGGTCGTCCAGCTCCCCCGTGCGCCGTTGCCACGGCACCGCAAGGACGCCCAGGAAGAACGCGGCCAGCGCGCAGCCAGGCAGTATCCCGCTCGCGGGCTGCCATGCCTCACCGATGGTGCGGTCGACCCGGATCCGGCGCGAAGCCGTGTAGGCGCCCAGAGTTGGGGCCGACACCCATTGAGGGACGCCAGCGCGCGCCAGGATGCCCGGCAGGGAGGCCAAGTCGATGTGGTCGTACGCCTTCCGCCAATCGAGCGCCGCTCCGGCGATCGTCTCAGACGGCGCCTCCTCCGCCTCCAGCTCCAGCGCGAGCTCCCAGGCCAGCTTCTCCGCGCCTCTCTGGACCTCCTCGCCGGCCCACCGCAGGCGCCACTGGGCGAACAGGCAAGCCCTGCCTGCCGCCCACAGGCGGTACAAGATGGGTAAAAGCCAAATCGGGCGCCTGTCCATGGGGTCCGCGCCACCCCCGGGCTTCGGGAGCAGAAGACCTTCTGCTTCCACCAGCTCGTTCGGCCAGCTCCTGCAGGCCTCGACCTCCGCCGTGCAGCTCCGGAGGCAGCAAACGAAGCTCCTGCACGGTCCACCCGTCCAGACCAGGCTTCTTTCGCCGAGGCATGCGGCGAAACAGCGCAGACGCCATCTCTGCGGTCCATGATACCCGCTCGGGGAACGCTGGGAGGCCATCCAAAGCCTGAAGCCAGTGCTCGCCCAGCGGCGGTGCCGAATACCGCTGCCAGAGAGCGCGCCACTGCCCTTCGAAGTGGCGGAGGCGCGCCGCAGGGCCGCCGCGGAGCGCCAAGAGGCAGCTCCGGCTCCCCGCTGCTGCGGCCGCCGCGCCAGCAGTCGGGTCGGGAACCAAGTCTGCCTCGAGAGTCGACCCGCCTCGGATCCATCGATAGAGGCGGCCCTGCCCGTTGGCCAAACTCTCTTGGGCCTGACGGCGCCAGTCCTGCCTGCGCTGGGACCGCGCGGCCGCCTGGGCGGCACGCCATTCGGCCTCCGCCCGCTCCGGCATGGTGGCTGGGAGCACCACGTCTCGGAGCGTGAATTACCTACCCCGCTTTCGCTTCCAGGCAAAACCAAGCCATACCACGCGCCTCCTCGTCAAGCGGCCTGACCAGTACAGGCCGCAATTTGGCATTGTTTGGTATCTCTTGGAAGCGAGGGTGGTCAAAAGCGAGGTAGGTTTGTTTCCCCCCGATGGTGGCTGGGAGCACCCCGTCGGGTCGCAGGTCTGCCAGTGCTGTCCGCCAGATCGCCCGGCCTGCGTCGGCCCGCCGGGAAGCCTCTTGGAGGTCTCCTCGGCCGTCCTGGGCGGTCGGAAACCCAAACATCAGGAGGGGAAAAACACACACAGACACAATTAATCGTCGATTCCCAGGAAAATATACGAAAATATGGGAAGTGTGGGGGAAGACGAAAACCCAGAAAATATAGGAAAATATAGGGAATATGCTTATTCGTGTGTATTTATTTGTGTGTCCTGGGGCTCCTTCAAAACAGGCGAGAACCTCAGCATGATTCAAACAAGTGAGGGAAATCAGCGGTTTTTGCATCCTCGGGCTCTCCTGGGCGGCCTCGTGCAGCCCCTGGCCCGTCTTTGGCCATCTCGAGCCGTTTCGGTGTCGTCTTCGTTGCCCTGGAAGCCTTCTTGGAGGTGATGCTGGCCGTCTGCAGGCCGAAAAGAGCGCTGGGCTGCAATTTCAGGGAGGGACGGCTTTCAAATCCCGCGTGCGTCGAGGGATGGGTGGGTCGAAGGACAAATAAATTTCAGAGGGATCAGAGGAGCATTCTAATACGCCCATCCCATGCAGTCATGATGGCGGATATGCATAAGTATATGTACATGTATGTATATATACACATGTGTATATCTACCTCTAGCTATACATCTGTACACATAGATCTATAGGTGTAGACGTGTGCATACATCCTATGTGTGTAAGCATCGAGTTTTATACAGATGTATCTGCATCGCCGTGTGCGTGTGTGTGTGTGTGCGTGTGTGTGTGTGTGTGTGTGTGTGTGTGTGTGTGTGTGTGTGTGTGTGTGTGTGTGTGTGTGTGTGTGTGTGTGTGCGTGCGTGCGTGCGTGTGTGTGTGTGGTTGTGTGTATGTGTGTGTGCGCGGGTGTCTGTGTGTGCGCATGGTTGCGAACATGTGTTGGCGAGAGTGGCAAGTGTTCACCCGTGTAATCCCAGTGTACTGGCAAAGTCGGAAGTCGGTGTGTCAAACGTCTCCAGGGCTGGCGTGGAACATACTTCAGGGCAGGCTAAGAGCCCAGAGATGTGTTTACTGTGTGCACGTGCGCGTGCATGTGCAGCCTCCCTGGCTTGGAATTTGGATACCGTAACACAGGCGACAATGTTTGACAAAGAGCCGTTTATCAGATGGCAGACTTCTCACACCATCAGCGTGTATGTGCCATGGTGCCCTTACATTGGCAGACCAATGTGCCCCACAGGGTTCCACCCCCATTAGACGATGTCACGGCTTGCCTCCCACCCCCCCCACGTCCAACTGCAAAGCGCATGGCGAAGAGGTGACGGGACGGGACGGCGTGTGAAGGTGGAGGGAGGACGGAACGGGACGGCAGTGAACAAAACATGAGGGGCACGGAAGACGACGACTAGTAGTATTTGCGCGAACGCGTAGAGGATTGAAGAGAAGAGGATGGGCTTGAGGAGGGGAAGGATGCGGAGGGGGCGGGCGGGGAGAAGGAGCAGCAGGAGGAGGAGAAGGACAGCGATAAGGCCGATGAGGATGGAGAGTAGGAGAAAGTCGAGGAGGAGGAGGAGAAGGAGGAGGAGTCGGAGTGTGAGGGCGGGCGAGGAGGAGAAGAAAACGGAGGCGGAGGAACAGGAGCGCGTCAAAGCAATAGGAGAAGATGGGGGAGGGCGGGATAAGGGGGAGGGAGACGGGTAGGTGAAGAAAGACGGCCAGCAACAGGAGTAGCAGCTCGAGCAGCTTCGGGAGGAGCATGGCTCTTCGGATGAGTTGCAGGAGGAGCATGCAGAGTAGAGAAGGATAAGGAAAGGTGGATCAGGAAGATGAGCAGCGGGACGAGGTTGATAAGGTGGTCGTGTGGGAGGAGATGGAGGAAAAGGACGGGTGAGGAAACAGGAAGAGGTGGAGGGAGGGGGCAGCGGTTCAGGCAACGGCACGGATGCGACGGTTGAGGCTGACTGCTCTGATTAGGGCGCTTTGCTTGTGCCTCTCTGGGCCAGCTGCGCTGGGCGGAGGCCACGGCACCACGGGGGAGTACATGGTCGCCTTGCGGAGCGGCTTCGAGGAGCTCCCCCACTACCCAACCTGCCTGGGTCTCTGGCGTCGAGGCGTTGTAGAAAAAACGTAGCTCTTTTGAGTAGAAGTAAGTTTGGGTCCCTGGACCTTCACGGTTTGACCCCGCTCGGCTAATCATTTTATTATCGTATCGTGAGTTCTGGTCGTCATTGCCCTCTCATGGTATTTTTTGACGTGGCGTCAGCGTCAGACGTTGTAGATGGAGAGGGCGATTTGGTTGATGGACAAGCTTGTCATCATAATTGCGACGTCCATTCGCCCAGTCAGAGCCGGTTCCTCATGTGTTTTTTTCCGACGCGTTATTGAAGCCGGTTATGTATTACATAATGTCTGGGTGTGCGCGCACGCGATCGTCGAGTGACGGGTCCTTTGTCCTACTCGTCCTCCTCAGCCGTTTCGCTCGATTCACGATGTTGGTATCGCGTACAACTCCGAATTGGGTCACAACAGTCTTGGCAAAATGGTGCCGATCCCCCCTTCCCTCCTTCATTCTCTCTCTCTGCCCGCCTTCATCTTGCTGTTTCCCTCTTGAGTTCTTCTTCACAATGTCCCCTCCTCCCCCACGTCCATGCTCGTAACACCCCTTTTTTCTTCGCTCTTCCTTCCCCCCACACCTCCTCCTTTTCTCCTGCCTCCTCCTCGATCTCCTTCTCCTTCATGCGTCCCCTCATTCGTTCTCGCCTTGTAGCCTCTCTCTTTCCCCTCCTTCTCGTTCTCCTCCCTCGCCCGTTCGCATATGCAGTGGGGACCCATGCCAAGAAACACTCTGCTTGCCTCCAGGGTGCCCCGGAATTTTTGGGTTACGATGGTTTTGCGATGGAACGCGTCACGTTCCCGCACCAAAAATCAATGGGCGTCCTGGGGTCTCAGGGTTGGGTTTCTTGTGGAAGGTTTCTGCTGGACTGGCCTCCACTGTACCTCTCCCTTCGTTCCTCCCCCTGCTTCCTGTTCCTCTTCTTTCTCCCAGCATGTTCCATCTCCCTGCCCATCCCCCTGCTCCTCCCTCCTCTCCGTGTGTGTGTCTGCGTGCTCTCCCCTGCACGCAGGCATGCTGGACACCAGCTCCATCTGCCGATTCTCCTTCCCGACAGAAGAGACGCTCTCCCCGAGCCATTTCCCACACCCGCCCCCTCGCCGTCCCCATCCCTTCGTCACTATCACTGTCGTCGTCCTTTGCCTAGTTGCCACAATTGTCCTGGTGCACGACGTGCACATCAGAAGCGCACGAAATTGACTCAGACGTTACTTTGGATCCCCGTCACGTCGAGCATGCCGAAGCCAAATCTCCATCGGCCTATCGCGGAGATCGGGCCAGCTCCACGGATCTATGGATTGGGAGAGGTATCGTCCGATCGGGATGTAGGGAGGCGGGGGGTTGGACGCACTTCAGCACCTCCCTCGCGCAAGTTCCGTCCCCCCCCCCACCTTCGCTCCCCCCTTTGACACCTCCTCCGAATCTGCTGTCGCACCTCCTTGTAGCTTGCACGTGGATGGGCCCTGCTCTTGGCCAAATATTGGATTCGGACTGTCTTGCAAGTTCGCAGGCACCAGTAGTTCTCCGACGGCCGCTTAATCCTCAAAGATGGTTTAGGTACCCTGAAGGCCTATAGCGAGTTTGGTAATCCTTGTAGCTTGCACGTGTCTGTCCCAGTGTCGCCCCGTTTGGATTCCCATGGCGTCCCATCCCGCCCCGTGGGTGGTTGGCCGTAGTCAATCGGCAGACGGGTCGTCGGTGGATAACCGTTGCAGCCGCGAGCAATCACAACAAGCAAAACATAGACACAGTCAGCATGCCAGGATGTGCTGTGAAGACTCCCGTTCCATCCTGTCGGACATCCATCAGCTCTGAATTGCCGATCCCTCAATGGGGCACGACAGCTCAGTGCAAAAACCGCGGTGTCTCGATGCGCCCCGCGCAGGTGCGGGAAGGGAGGGTGGCCTCGCCCTGCCCGTGCGATTCAGCGACGCCCTCCCAAGAGCGCGCGGGCCGCCACGTTTATCCTCTTCCGTAGTGAGGAATGTCGTGGGATGACGTTTAACCCCGACAGTAATCTAGTTTTCCTCATCGTTTGGGGGTGGAGTTTAATCCTCGGCGCAACGCTTCCCCGTTGCTGCTCGCACTTAACCCTGCGCCTCCATCAGCATAGCACGTGCGAGGCGCGCCGTGGCTGCGACGGCGGCAACTTGTCCGAGCCCATGATGCTCCGTACCCTCTTCGTGGCTTGGTTGAGCAGGTGCCCCCGCGACTGTTCAGGAGGGCGAGGAGGAGAAGAAGGAGAGGATAGCAGGAGGAGGAGGAAAAGGACGATGAGGATGAGGAGGAGAAGGAAGGGGGGAACCGCATCACTTAGCATCAGCAACCAATACCTTGAGGCACCGTCCCACTCTGGAGTCTCGCTGGTCCGGGCAAGGAGACCCCCCCTGACAGCATGTTTCGATTCGCCATTCGGCGGCCGCCACGCTGCCGCTACGCTTGCACACGCATGGAAAGGGGACGCCGGGGAGGAGTGTGGGGGGGGTGGGGATGGGAGCGGATGGTGAAGAGGAGGAGAGAAGTTATGGAGGACGAGGGGAAGGGGAGGAACGAGGAGGAGCAACATGTGGAAGAAGGAGGAGGGGTACATGTACCAGGTGGAAGAGGATGCCCATCTGGCCTTCGAGGCCGACGAGGCATTACTCGACCCCCCCGGATTCACGCACGTGGAACCCAAATTCATTTGGCGATGCAGGGCGCGCAAGGTTCTGAGCACGCCTGAACTGCGGTGTGGTATCGGCGCACTGCATCGAGCTCGAGCCCGCTTAGACGAGATCCACCGCGCGATCGAGCGTCCCCCCCTCCTCGCCCACATTTTGCTTCCCAGTGCCCCGACGATTACATGGGGTAGCATTTTGGGATTCTGGATGGGCTGCGTCACAGGACCATCGGAAATCGCCAAGGAAGTGCGAAGTGCAGCTGGAGGGTGCTCCAGAGGTGCAGCACAGTTCTTGTGCTCCCCCTCAGATGCCCGAGGTCGGACCCCCAACGTTCCGTGAATCGTTGCGCCTTCTGACTATGCCCTTTCTGATCGCCTGCGTGGCCGGGTTGCTTGCTTGGGTTGGTTGATTGGCCCCCCAACTGGGTTCGCAACTCGGCTGGTTGGCTTGTCGGCTGGCTGGCTGGGTTGCAGGTTGGTTGGTTGGTCGGCAAGCAGGCTGGCAGCCTTGACGGTTGATTCGATGATTTATCGGTGAGATTGCCAGCTTCCCGAAGTGCGGGACCAAGAGCGCGTCTAAGACATTGCGGTTGCTCGCGCAGAACTGTTGTGTGTTGCAAGAGTATATGTCTCACGAGGACCCGTGGTTGCACGAGCGTTGCCCAACCGTTTTTGATACGATGGCTTTGCGAGCGCAGTCCTGCTCCATGTCACAAAGGGGCAATTCCTTGGGAGCGCGGACCCTTTAGCTAATATGACAGATCTTGGCCCCGGCATGCCCGATTGTTGATGCGTTTGTTCACATCACCGTGGCCCTGGCAGCGCGGCCCCATCGTTCTTCTACGAGGGACCGTGGCTTCGGGAGTGCGTTCTCATTGCGCTGCGCCATTGCTCATGGCCTCGGGATTGCAGGCGCTTGAATTTCTGACAGAAACGCGTCTCAAGTGTCTTTGAGTCCTGGCTTTGGAGACGCGGGCCCGTGCTTTGGGAGAGCGTACCCGTCAGTTTGCTATGAAGGGTCGTGGTCTGCGGGAACGCAGGGCCGTGTTTTTTCGAGGGATCGCGGCCCCGGAATCCCAGGCCAGTTGGATGCACAACAGGTCGTACAGTGTGGAAAGCGTGGGCCCATCGCGTTGTACAGGGATCGGCTCCCCGGAGAGGCGGACCCATCGCCTTGTCACGAGGAGTCGTGGCCTCGGGAGCGCGTACCCCTCGCAGTGTCCGGGGGCGCGGCCTCAGGAGCGCGAGCCAGCTGGTTTGGTTATGAGCGACCGTGGCCCCGAGAGAGCGCACCCGCAGTATGGTGCAAAGGCTGGTTGCCTCGGCAGCGTGGGCCCATCGTGGCATCGGGGGCGCAGATTCATTGCTCTGTTCGACCCTCGGGAGCGCGGGGTCCCATCGATTTTGTTACGAGGGATCGCGGTCTCGAGAGCGCGGACCCACTGTACTGCATGAGAGCCCGTGGCCTCGAGAGCGCGGAGCACATGTATTTAATTTGGGTTGTCGTCTCAGTCATGCGGGCGTGCCGTTTCCTCCGACAAGGAGTCGTGATCCCGGGAGCGCGGACCCATTTGTTTTTTGTTTAAGTGGTCGTGGCCTCGGGCGCGCGGGGATATATGTTCGTCAGCACGGTCAGGTGATGTGATTATGTAGGTCGGGATCGTGGATTTGGGAGTGTGGATCAGTTTCCAGACATCCTATGGTGTTGAGTCTTCGTTTTGAGTCAGCAGCGCAACGCGTCCTCTCCCAGTCCTCCTCCCCCCTGCCTCTGCCCCAGCGCAACCATGCCTCGCTTTCCACGCCCCATGGGAGCTCCATAGAAGGCCAACATGAAAAAGTCCGCACGCAGTCGAGGGCTCATTCCGTTCGCCTCAGCCACGCTTTCAAAGAAAGCCTCGTAGGAGCTCCACAGAAGCCCATTATGGAAAAGTCTGCATGCAGTCGCGGGCTCGTTCCGTTCGCCTCTGCCACGCATTTCCAGCCCCAAAGGGGCCCCATTGAAGCCCGGTCCGCGCGCAGTTGTGGGCTCATGTTGCTCGCCCTAGCCGCGCTGTTCAAGCCCAAGAGGAGCCCCACAGAAGGCAAACATGACAAGACCCGCGTGTAGTCGGGGGCTCAGTTCGCTCGCCTCTGCCACCCTGTTCAAGCCCCTATCGGAGTTTCACAAAATGCCAAAATTGAAAAGTCCGCATGCAGTTGCGGGCCTGTTTTTCGCTCGCCCTTGCCACGCTTTGCAATGCCCTTGGGAGCTCCACAAAAGGCAAGCATGAACAGTTCGCATGCAGCCGTGGGATAATGTCGCCCGCCCTTGCCACGGTTTTAAGCCCCATAGGAGCTTTTTAAAAAGGCCACAACATAACAAATCCGACTGCTGTCGGGGGCTCATCTCGTGTGCCCTTGCCACAGTTTTCAAGCCCTGTAGGAGCTCCACAGAAGGCCGACATGAATCAAGTCCCTATGCAGTCGTGGACCGTGTTCGGCATTTTTCTCGCCCTGCCCACGCTCAGTTCGCTAGCACCTGACACGCCTTTCAGGCCCCATGAGGAGCTCTACGGAAGGCCCAGAGGGCGAAGTCCGTACGCCTGTCCACGCCCATGTCGATCGCCCTTTCCATCGTTTCAGGTTCCGCATTGTAGCACTCACATGTGCGTATTGTCTGGGGCGCTACGGCGACGATTCCGTGGTGGCGGCGCCTCCACGTGTCGTGGCCCCGGAGAGGGGCCTCCACCTCCTTCGGCCCACCTGCCTTGCGGTGCTCACAACGGCAGGTGGTTGGGTCCTTCGCCAGGCTAGTTGTGTGTGTGTGGTGTTGGTGCCCGTGGCTTCCGGAACGTGGGCCCATTGCTGCTCTTACGAGGAGGTGTAGGCCTCGGAGCGCGGGCCCAGATCGTTGTTGCATGCCGCATGGCAGTCAGAGGTTGGGGGAATCAAGCCCGAGGAGGGGGATGGCGGCCTTTCTGGTACATGGGGGTCACGCGCGTAGAAGTTCAGAGCCTATACCAATTGCAACGCTACTCCATCTTGCGATTCGAGCTTTGACCACTGCGTTCGGCAAAATCCACTGTGCACAAACTCTGGCGGGATTTCCGAAAAGGAACCGTTGCCCAGACCACAATGCTCAAGTTGGCCGCCCGCGCGCATTCACGGTTGACGATCCGTATGAGTTTGGCCGCCGTGCAAGTTGCAGCCAGTTGCAGTAGTGATTCTCGAGGAGGGATGCGATATTGACGCACAGCTCCAAGCGTCCGTCGTAACGTGTTGGTTTGCAAGCTATCTGCCCGCGGGAAAGGCGCACTGCAGCAAGAAGCCATCATACACCACACTATGTAATGGAAGCGGATGCTGCTGACATGGGTTGTCGGCGTTTGCCCGCCAGTTTGTTCTAAGAGCGGCGCAGGTTATGGTGTAATCTCACATGTTGAAGGCAGGCCCAGTGTTGGCAAGCGGTTCTGCTGAGCATGGGTTGCCCTTCCTGCCTGTTCTGCCCGAGATGGGACTGCATGCTGAATGCCCATGCTCGAGGGAGGGAGCGAAACAGCCGTCCTTTCGCCAACGGCACAGGCCTCACTGCAAGCTGTCCAGGAGAGCTTGCTCAGGCTAGGCGACACGTTGTATTTGAAGCATTCATCGAGCACGTTGGATTATTGAACAAGCTGCCTAGCTAGCACACAGCCCGTTCCGACGATGCCCGCTCATCCCCCCAACGGGCATGATCAAATGTGGTTTAAACTCAGACCCCCCACGCCGTCTGCTAGACACAAGCCGTTGCATGGTTTTGGGCGTGGTGGGCATAGAATCTGCGCCTCACCGGGAACACAAAGGGTGTGCCCACCGAGGTATGCTTGTCTGCTTTTTACAGCGTTGACGCTTCGCGTCTCCCCGCTAGCCCACCCAGAAATGATGCCAAGCCGAGCTGCAGGTGGAGCAGCTGTCAAACCGAGATATGCCAACCATACATCCAGTCTCGCGTGTGTCGATACAGGACTCTTTTGGCAGCTTGCTTAGGCCATACTAGGACCTTCTTGATGCCATTTTGGAAGCCTTTGGGGTTCGTTTGATGCCTTCTTGGGGGCCTTTGTGGCCTTATAGGGGCCATCTTGGAGACCATCGGTTAAATAAGGAAGGGTAACTAATGTCAGCGCCCCCGCCGGGCTGGAACAATCTACTCCTGAGGCCTTTGGAGGCGTTCTTGGGCACTCTTGTTTGGATCTGCCTTGGGCCCCGCTTCGGGCTTTCTTGTGCCATCTTCGAACCATCTGAGTCCTTAGAAGCCCATCGGAAGTGAAAAAGACGAGGTGTCGGAAGGATGTTGGCATCTCGGGGTCCTCTGGAGTCTCCATGGCTACCCAGAGCCGTCTTGGAGCGGTATGTGAGCCTCTTGGGGGCATGTCGGAAATTATGATAAGCCATCTTTGGTTATCTCATGTGATCTTGGAGGCCATCTTGGGCCATCTGGGGCCATAATGAACCGATCTTGGGCAATCTTTTTCGCCTCAACGCGTCGCAGCGGAAGTGTTCCAGACCCAGGGAGGGAAAGGGGGAGCAGGGGGAGAGGTTAACATCCCAGTTTCCCTACTCTTGCTTCCTTTCCCCACTCCACCCCAAATTCGTCCGTAATCCCTCCTGGCTTCATCCCATCTCCCGTTCTCGTCTCCCTCATGTGTGCCAGTGCAATGGAACGCATGAGATCTCGGAGTTTCGGGGCAGGCAGGTGGAGACGCGAAGCGGAGATCAGGGACAACGATAGGGGGGAATAGGCAGAGGGGGGGATGCATCGACCCCCAGTCGCCCACTGGTCGCCGATCGGGGCCCGATAGCCCCAACCCGCCGAGGGAGGTACGGACTCACTATCGGGGGCCTATCGCCGATCTATCGGCGATGCATCGCCGATTCCAGGTCGATGCATCCCCCCCCATGCCGATGCCTACCCCCCTATCGTTTCCCTCCAGTGGAGAGGTGGGGGATCACAAGATGTCTTAGCTTGAGCGTCAATGTTGTGATCAATTGCTGGGCGCTACGTTCTGCTAAGCGGGTTCTCGCTGACCGCGTTGGATCAGCACTGCCAATACACATCGCCCGTTGGCAGTGGCAGCACGGTGTACCTCGGACTCTTTAACTTTTCCGCTTGCTTCACCCTCCCATCCCTCACGCTCCTTTTCTTGTAGCCTTGGTTGCCCGAAGGCTCCCAAACATACAGGGGAGTTGGGGAGGAAAAGGACGAGACAGACTTGACCGATATTTCTCGGGCCAGGCTACCGTTCAACGGGGTCTGTTGTATGTTAGCCGTTTCCCTAACAGCAAGATGTGGGGTGGACGAGTCATTGATTGGTGTATGTATTGTGGGGTTGGGTGGCCCCTCAGTTGATTAGGGACGCGGTCCTTGTGAATGCGCCTCTTGGGGAAAGCTCTCTTGTTCCAAGCGCTGGCCCTGCCCTTGGGTTCAGGGTGTGGATCGTTTCTGGGCTGTGTACTCAGGCTTGGCATGCCCAGCTGATGACACGCACAGCGTGCGTAAGACTCAGCTAATGTGCCGTTTCTGCAGGCCCGTGTGCATGCACGCGTGGATCCGTCATTCCGATCTGTTCTGAGGAGGAAGGGGGAGGAGCAGGAGGTCGAGGAGGACGAGGAGGAGGAGCAGGAGGAGGATGAGGAGGAGGAGCAGGAGGAGGAGGAGGAGGAAGGGGAGGAGGAGGAGGAGAAGGAGGAGGAGGATGATGAGGAGGAGCAGGTGGAGGAAGAAGGGAAACAGGCGCGAGAGGGGGGGAAGAGGTGGAGGAGGCGGAGGAGGAAGAGGGTACGGGTTAGTCGGGTAGGGGTGGGGGGAGGAGGAGGAGGAGGAGTCCTCAGCCGAAGGCCGTTTTTCATCGGACTGCTGCGCACTGCATGGCTGACACGACGTTCTTACGTGTCCCGATGAGGAGGAGGAGGAGGAGGAGGAGGAGGAGGAGGAGGAGGAGGAGGAGGAGGAGTAGGAAGACAAGGACAAAGACGAACAAGGGGGTGGGGAGAGAAGGCGGGAGGAGGGGGCCGGGGGGAGGAGGCGGAGAAATCGGGGCAGGTGGAGGAGGGGTCAGATCGGGGAACATGTAGGCGGGAGAGGAGGTGGGGGCAAGGAGGAGGCAAGGACGACGAAGTTCCTCCTTCCTCCTCCTCGCCCTCATTCCCCTTCTGCTCCCCCTCCTCCATCTCGCCCTCCTCCTCCTCTCCGTCCGCCTCGCCATCCTCCCCATGCTGCTGCTCCTCCTCCTCCTCCTCCTCCTCCTCCTCCTCCTCCTCCTCGCCCTTCCCCCCCCCCTCCTCGCCCTCCCTGCCCTCGAGGCTCCTGATGCCTTGCGGAGGCTCCAGGAATTTCAGATAATGCGCTGGAGGGTGTCCGAAAACATCGGGGAAAGTTGAGAATCGCACAAATCTCCCAGAAGCCTTCGACGACCACCCGAAAGCGTCCGATGGCATCGGTAGATTGCCAGACAAACCCGGATGCATGGGAAAAGCATCCGGAAACAGTTGGACTTTTTGTTCGCCTTCCAAACCCTTATCATCTCTTCTCAACTCCCCCCTCCTCCTTCTCCTCCTCGTCCTCGTCCTCCTCCCCCCTCGGGAGGAGGAGGAGGAGGACGAGGAGGAGGAGGAGGAGGAGGAGGAGGAGGAGGAGGATGGAGGAGGTGGGCCAGGAGAGGCAAGGCGGAGGAAGCTCCTCCTGTTCCTTCCCCTCCCTCTCCTTCTCCTCCTCCTCCCCCTCCTCCTCCCCCTCCACCTCCTCCTCCTCCTCGTCCTCCCCCTCCACTCCTCCTCCTCCCCCTCCTCCTCCTTCTCCTCCTCCTCATCCTCCTCCTCCTCCTCCTCCTCCTCCTCGTCCTCCCCCTCAACTTCCTCCTCCCCCCCCTCCTCCTCCTTCTCCTCCTCCTCCTCCTCCTCCTCCTCCTCCTCCTCCTCCTAGCCATTTCCAGGTCTCTGGAAGTAAGACTTTTTCGGTCGCGCACTTGGAAGTGGCGCAGCGGCCGAGAGCCAACGATTCCATACCCGCGCCCATGCCTGAAGACGGCCGCGATGGCGGCGGGAGATGGCAGTTCCGCACCTGGGGTTGCTCCAACCCGCGCTGTCGATATGCCAACTTCATGTGGCGCACGTCATGTCGTGAATGTGGGAAAGCTGGACCCCCGAAAGTTCAGAACCAAGCACGCCGGCCAGGCCTCCGCGAGCCTCGGGTGCTGGGCGACTGGCTTAAGGGGCCGCCTGACCTCGGTGATTCAGCGGGGGGCAAGGGTCGCGGGGGCAGAGCCGCAGCAGCTGACAAGGGCAAGGACAAGGCCCCCGACAGTGAGGCAGTTGTCAAGCTCCTGCGCGCATATGAGAAGCATACAGGCACGTCCATGGCAGAAGTGGTGGCCTTCGCGGAGAAGCCGCCCGAGGAGGAGTCTCAGGCCGTCGACCTCAGCACGAAGTCCCTCCAGGACCTGCTGGGGCGCGAGACTCGGAAGAAGAAACAAGTCGAGGCGAGCCAGAGTCGAGTGGAGGAAGCAGCAGCAGCCCTCGAGGAGGCTCAGAAGTGGCTCGCCTCCCAGCGCCAGCAGCTCGCCTCGCACACGGAGTACCTCGGCAGGATCCAAGAGGCAATCAAGGCCCAGAAGGTGCGAGCGGTTATCCCCCCCGGTGAGAACGTGGCCGAGAAGAAGGTCGACAGCACTGCGCTGCTGGAGGACTTCCACAAGATGCTCGATGCCGTGGCCCAGCAGTTCCAGGTCGACTGCGGGGGCCTCAAATCGGCCACGGCGGCCAAGCTCGCTGAGGAGAAACAGAAGCACGCTGAGGCCCAGCGGCAGTCAGCCGCTGTGGCTGCTGCTTCTGCTCCTGCTGCTGCGGGCAGCGACGGCGGCGGCAACGCGGCCATGGACCTCGACGGCGGCATCGAGTTCGACGCCGAGGACGAGGGAGTCCAGCAGTTGCTCCGCGAGGCTGATGCCGACGTCGACGACAAGGGCAAGGTCAAGCGCTTGCTGGAGGCCCTCACCGCCAAGGCCAAGCGAGCCAAGCGGAGTGGGTAACAACACCCGCTCGACAGAGGTACCGCCGGGGGCCTTTGCTCCAGGAGCCCCAGGCTCTCCGACGCCCCGTGGCCCTCGCCAGTGTGCCGGAGATGGTGGTTGGCAGCCCAGCCACACCTTGCGGGCTGCACTGATCACCGTCGCTCCGGGTGCAGTTGTCAATCCACCCGCCTGTGAAGCAAGTGGCGGGTTGGCGAGAGAGTTAGGCCCCGCGGGCGGGTCTGGCGGCGCAGGCATGCATGGCCTTTCGCTGTGGTCTGCGAATTCATCCACTTGGTCTTCGGCGCAGACGCTAATGGAGTGGGCCAACGGCAGCAAGCACCACGAGCTGCCAGACGTGATGTGCACCCAGGAGCACAGGATTAAGTCGACGGCTCTCCTGTCGTCTGCTTCCAGCTGGGCCTCCAAGAGGGGCTTTGCGTGGATCTCGCACCTGGCGAGCTCCACTGGCGATGGGCCGCTCAACTCCTAGCGGAGGAGTGGCAGTCCTCAGCCGGATCACGGCTATGCGAGAGCCGTTGCTGGATCAGATCTTCCTGCCGACGCACAGGGTGGAGGCGGCAAGACTGAACGTGGGCTTGCCAGTGCCGCTGCATGTAGTCTCCCTGTACTTGGTCACCGGCGTGGGCCTCAACGTGGAGAACATCGGCATACTGGCGAACCTGATGGAGTTCCTGGGCTCTCTGCCTGGGCCGTGGATCGTGCTGGGCGACTTCAACGTGCTGCCTGAGCTGTTGGAGGAGTGGGCCACCAAGGCCCGAGGGGTGTTGCTCGCCACTGGAGCCCCGACGTTCGGGGGCCGAGAGATCGACTTCGGCATCTGTTCGAAGGTCCTGGCCTCCTTCGTCCGGGCGGTGGTTCCGGTCGAGGGCCCCACACAGCAGGGGCATGTGCCCATTCATGTACGCTTGGAGGGCTTGGGCAGGGGGGCGCGTGTCACTCGAGCGGTCTTGCCCTTCAAGTTCCCGCTCGAGAAGCCTCCCCCTGTATGGCCAGCACCGATTGAAGCTGGCGCCGCAGAGTGGCCCTGAGAGGTCGGAGTGGCGCTCCCGACTGCTCTCGGTGAGGCGTGCGAGGATGCCGAGGCGTACCTCGCCGAATTCCACGATCTGGCAGCGTGGGGCCAGCGCGCCTGGAGGGGGCGAGCTGAAGGCTTCAAGATCGCTAGTGAGCCGTTGTTGCAAGCTTGGGACAGGTCGCTGAAGCAGCACTCCAGCGTCGCTTACCGCTCTCGGGCCCGGTTCTACTCGGCAGCCTACCGCTTAGCGGAGATCGCAGCTGCAGCCGGAGCCAAGCGGTGCCCTGGACTGGCAGCGTTCAGGAGGCAGCGCAGAGTGGTTTCCAGCGTAGTGCCCGCTGACGGCCCGCTGGCCGCCTGGCAGGAAGAGCCCAGGGAGGACCTCGTAGAGCTGCTGTCTTCCGGCGAAGCGGCCGACAGAGAGCGCGCTGCTGATTTTTTCGACGCCTTGAGCTTGCACTTGTCCCGGCTCCAGAGGGCCGATCGAGCTGAGGCGGCCAGAGCTTGGCGAGCTTGGGCGCAGGCGTCGGTTCAAAACGGCGGCAGCATCGCCTTTCGCTTTGTTAGGGGCACTGTGCAGCCGTCGGCGATGCAGACAGACGAGTCTGAAGGGTCTCCCGCGCTGCCCATTGCAGGGCAGGAAGCCCTTGGTCAGATTATGGGCACCTGGACCCCGCCCTGGGTGAACCCTGCGCGCGCAAGCGAAGAGCACCCAAGGCTTTGGGACAGATCCTGGTCAGGGCAGCGCTGGCGCGCTTATTGACTGCGATGCTGGCCCGCCCGCGGGCGACGGGCTGGAGGCTGGCCCGCTGGGCGAAGTCCGAAGCCGGAGCTCCGGGCAAAGTTCACTCGTCTCCCCGGCGGCCGGCGATGACAGCGGCCAGGCCGCCAGTGGGCAGCGGCATGTGAGTCAGGAGGCGCCTGATGGGGGTCGACGCCCGCGCTGGATCCGTTCGCGGAGCTCCCCCCCCTAACCCTGGAAGAACTGGACCGAGTTGTTTTAAGTTACTCGTCCTCGGCAGGGCTCGGATGGGATCGTTTCCACCCGCGCCAGATGTCATATCTTCCTATTTCCTATAGGCAAGCCTTCCTTGATATACTGCACGCCTGGGAGAATCAGCCAGATGAGGTTGATATATGGTTGCTTTTAGTGTTTTTCCTTCATAAACCGAGCCCCCCAGGAGGCGTGCGACCGATAATCCTCTTCTCGCTCTGGACGCGAGTGTGGTCGAGGTGTCGTCAGGTGGTCGCGCGCAGATGGGAGTTCACCCTCCAGAATGCTTTCTTCTGGGGGGACGCGGAACACACGTGCGATAGGTCAGGTTTAGTGCACAATGTTTTGCAGCAGCCAGCGGGCTGCTCGACCTCTCTAAGTACGACGAGTTCATTTCGCATGCAGAGCTTCGTCAGGAAGCTATCAAGACGGGGTTCAATCTTAAACTCCTCAAGTGTTGCTGCTCAGCTTATCGCCTCCCAATGAGAGCGGTGTGGAAAGGTGCTGTGTCGGACCCTGTGTCGGCGAACGGCACTGTAGCGGCGGGCTGCAGCGTTGCTTTGGCGTTATCCAAGCTCCTGGTGCACACTCTGTTGCGTAAGTTGCAGCGGCTTTTTCCTTCGGTCAGGTTCCAGAACCTGGTCGACGACTACCTGCTCCAAGCTGTAGGCATGGCAGATCAGGTGCTGAATCAGTTTCCCGAGGCCATGATGGCCTTGGTCCAGGGGCTGCAGCGCAAGAAGCTCAAAGTAAACTGGGACAAAACCGGTTTCCTGGCCTCTTCGGCCGGCTTGGCTGATCAGTTGAATACGAAGTGGTCCCTTTCAGCGGAGGACCGTCTCAAGGGGGCCAGGTGCTTGGGCACTGACGCCAATGACGGTTCGGTCAGGCGGGTAGGAGAGCAGGACAAGCGTCTAGCCAAGGCCAAGCGGGTTTCACAGAAGGTGCAGACCCTGCGGGCTGCTGGCGCCAACGTCAGTACTATCATGAGGGGGTCTCCGACGGCTACGGCGGTGTGGGGGAGTGCTGTGACGGGGATCTCTGATCAGAAGTTGCACGGGCTGCGAGTGGCGGCCCTTCGTGCGGAGGGCCGCACTCCAGCAGGCACGTCAATTGGCCTTCGGCTGAGAGTTTCACCCCGGGGATCGTTTCGAGACCCTTGGGTGGTCCACGCCGTGGAGGTCGCGAAGCAGTGGGCGCTGTCGGCCCTGTCGGAGCTCCCTGGGCGCGGCCCCATGCAGGCGGTGTGGGAGGCTGGGAAGGACCTCTTGGGCAGAGCCAACGCGTGGTCGCAATGCGTGGACCCAGGGCAAGTTGTACAGTTGTGCATGGCGCGCATTGGCATCAGCATGCCAGGAGCCTTCTCTATTTGCTTCCAGCGTGTAGAGTATTCGATGCTAGATTTTTCGCCAGGCTTCATCTGCGAGAGAGTGAAGGAGGCGTCCCTCCTCGCCTCGGATGTGCTGGCTTTGAACAACATCCAGGGGGCATGGTCCTCGGCGCTGCACTGGGGGCCGGTCGCGCATTTGCTGGCTAAAAAGGAAAGTGATGTCTGGACCAAGCACCACAAGGCCATTGTCCGGAGCTTGTGTGGTGGTTCCTTCTGGCCTCAGGCCCGCTTGTTCAGGCACGGGAAATCCCAGCATGGGCTGTGCTTGTTGTGCGGCGGCCCCGGGACCCTTTACCACAGATTTTATGAGTGTCCTTGCCTGGAGCAGCACCGCAGGGACGAGTGCCCCGTCCATGTGCGCGAGGCTGCCGCCCGAGTCCACGCCAAGGGGGAAGTTTTTAGTGACCTCTTCTGCCGAGGGCTGTTTCCCTCTCCAGCCAGGTGTTTCCCTGTCCCCGAGGCGAGGATTGAGGATCAAGTGATCTGGATTGGTGTTCCTGGGGGCTGGAAGTTCTCGGGAGCTGTTTTCCTAGATGGCAGTGCGTTTCATTCGAAGCTATCCGGGCTGTCCAGGGCGGGCTGGGCGATCGTTCAGATCGACCCCGCTGGCAATCTTGTAGGAGGAGCCTTCGGCGTAGTGCCTCTGAGCTACGCGCCCAACCAGACAGCCCGTGACGGCGAGGACAGAGCGTTTCAAGTCTTGTCCGAATTCTCGGAGTGGATCCCCGAAGACCCTCTCACGGTTTACTCGGATTGCGCTGGCTCGATCAATTGTGCTGTCTATCCTGGGATTGCCCTCGACCCCATGAATGCCAGGAGCCACTTTTGGGTGCGCTGGTGGGAGGGAATTGGCTGCCTCGCCCGAGTCCATAAGGTCAAGGCTCATGCTGCGATCACTTCGGCTGCCGATGACCACGAGGAGTGGTTGTTTAAAGGCAACCGAGAGGCTGACAGATGGGCCAAGAAGGGGGCTTTGAGATGGCTGGTTCCCCCTCAGCAGATGGCTTTTGTGCAGGGGGTCGAAGCAATGGCCAGAGATGCGATTCGGTGGCATGCGAGGGCCCAACAGCAGTTCTCCGATGGGGGGTTTTGCGACTCGCAGGGGGTCGTTGGGACCTCGGATGTCTCGTTCGAGATCAGCGGCCCTGATTGGAGCCATCTTGAGGAGCTGGGCCGTGAGGGGGGGGCTGTCCCTTTTGGGCAAGTCCGGGGAGTGTCCTTTGCGGGAGGCGCGGCCCCCCCCACTCCGCCGGTCCCCCCGGCCCTTGCTGATGCCTTCTCCTCTGCCGCGGCTGCTGCATCTGAGCCTGATCTGCAGACGTGTGATGGCATCCCATGGCTCCTCAATGGGCACTCTGTCGTACAGGCATCTCTTGTCCCTAATGCGGAGGGGGCGGAAAGCGTGCCTGATCTAATTTTTTGTAAAGTCTGCGGGGCCTCCCTCCACAGGAACTTTCGGCCTGGGGAGGGGTTGGACGCGGTCTGTCGTGGGAGGGAGACCCCGGGACTCAGGTCTCAGAGGTCCCGGCTGCGGCGAGGGCTGGCTCCGAGGATCGACGCCAGTCTGGACCGCGTCCGGGGGCCCGAGGACGCCATCAAGGCCGCGTGGACGGCCAGGCTGCCCTCCCTCACCTCCCTGGGCGCGGGCCCGGGCGCGAGGGAGCAGGAGGCAGTGAGGGGTGAAGCCGTCAGTGAGGTTTTGTACGGCACCACGGTGCCTGAATTGGACGACTGGGCGGTAGCCCTTTTCCACGGTTTCTCGTCCCCAGATGCAGCTGTTGATTTCGGTCAGTCTCAGCGGGTTTCTGAGGACGAGGTGTTTCATCCTGACGACCCTAGCGAGGGCTGGGCAGGTTTTGGCTCTGCGGAGAGGGGGCCCAGCCCCATATAATCAGAAGCACTCAGAAGCACCCTCCTCCTCCTCCTCCTCCTCCTCCTCCTCCTCCTCCTCCTCCCCCTCGTTTCTCGCTCCCTCCTCCCGCCGGTGCGCTCCCTTCCCCGCGCCCCAGTGCGCCTTGCGCAGGGCAGGAAGGGCGGGCCCAGGAGGGAGCCAGCTGGAGTCGTTCGCCCGCCGGTCCTGCTGGACGCTTAGTCTCAGGAGGAGGAGGAGGAGGAGGAGGAGGAGGAGGAGGAGGAACAGGAGGAGGAGGAGGAGAGTCTGCCCCCGCCCGCTCACGCAGCGGTCTCCTTCCGCTCCTGCACGCCGCCAATATGCCGTCCCCGCCCGCTGCCTCCCCACGCTGGCCCCGCTCGCCGAGCGCTGGCGTCGCGGAGCGGGCATGGCCAGGGCCCCGCTCGGGCCCGAGGAGAGCAGCTCGTGTCGTTATTTTGGACCATTGGGGGGGGGGGGATTGGGGTGCGCTGCCACACTGTGGCAGCGCACCAAGCTCCCCAGGGTGAACAACCGAGGGGAAACAAAAACCATCAGCTAAACAAAAACCATGAGCTAAACTTGGGACTTGGGGCGCCACAGTGGCGCCCCAAGTCCCCTTGGGGAGCTGTGACAGCTGCCCAAGGGGCCTGCCGGCCCGCCCGCGCCGCTGCTGATTGCGGGCTCCGGCCCGCCCGCGCCGCCCCTGTAGGGGCCTGCCGGCCCGCCGGCCGGCGGACTCGCGCGTCTGCGTCTGCGTCTGCGTCTGCCACAGCTCCCTGCGAGCCCAGAGGTGCACGCCAGGATGGCATGGGAAAAGCGGCACGTCCTGGCATTGGAGGCACCGCAACAGGTGACTTCGAACCGAACGCCCTCGCCACCAAGCAACGGCCGCGGCCAGCGCCCACAAACTCTACAAGGCACTCAGCCCTCCGATGCGCCTGTCTGGTCTTCATCCACATGCCGCTGCCCGCATACTTGCAAAGCGCGCGCCACGAAATTATCGTGGACTGGATCTCGCCAGGGCCCGAAGAGCGTAGTTAACACTGCACTGGACACCAGAGGGGACATTGGGGTGCGCTGCCAGAGTTTGGTGCCGACGCACGCCAGTAGGGTGTGCGTTACTGGCACGTTCTTACAAGGGCAAGCGCCGCAACTGGCAAGCACGAAAGGCGTTTCTTCGCCACCAAGCACTTGGAGCCGTCTGCTTCCGCGAACCCTGCAGACCACCCAGGGGGAGAAAGTGCAAGGACCCAACGTCCTCCAATGCCCTGAATTCCGCACCCTGCACTGCATCCGCCTCCCGTTGGAATGAGGAGAACGGGACAGCGAAGGATGGTAGGGGGCGAGTGGCCGCTACGCGGTACACCGGTCGGTCGCACTCACGGAGTACTGGGCGAACCACGTTCCACGTCCCACTCGTACCGCATCAGCAGGTCTTTCCGCTCACCTGGGTCTGTTGTCGCACCTTCTATCAGGACTGTGAGCTCTGCGACGTCGATGACGTCTGGTACTGGGCCGCCGAGCAAATCGGCCAAATTGTTGCCAACTCGCCTCCACCACGAAGGAGCGGGCGAGGAGCGCGCTGCTTCCCGCATGACCGCTGCGGGGTGACCGCCGGGGAGCACCCACAGCCTCGCTCTGTCCATAATCGTTTGCTCAAACATGCGTGTTCCCAGACGCCTCCCCCGCCCGCACTGAACCCAGGACAACGCCCAATTAAGGCGCGCCCAATTAAGGCGCGCCCTGGCCCAGGAGGTTTTCAGTTTTTTCAGGTCGGTTTCGCTGTGCGGCACGTCTATCCAGAACGCGGCTCCGTACAGGAGGGCCCCCTCAATCTTGGCGGGGACTTGCGCGTCAAGCACTGGTGCGGGGAAACCACCTGCGTCTGCAGCCTGGTGGAGTTCATCGAAAAAGGGCCCTCCCGCGCGCGAGGAGCGATCTCGCAAAGGGGCTGAAAGACAGATCCGCACTAAGATGATCCCCGGGATGACCCTGGACGAGCAGGGGTCGAAGCCCATGTCGGTGGAGTCGGATGCCGGACTCTGGCCGATAGCCATGGCAGATGTTGTGGGACGGCCGCAATTCAACTATGCTTTTAGAGTGCAGGACGTTTTTCACCGTCGCCGAGGGGACGGTCTGGTCAAGGACCGCCCGAAGCGCACCCATAGACGAGCTAGCCGCGACGGCATCGTCGACGTCTTGCGACGGGCCCAAGGAAGCGTCATCGAGCAGTTCGACGGTGGCGACGCGGTCGGCCAAGCAGGGCAAAGATGGCAAGGCAGCAGCCTCGCAGGAAGCTCCCCCTCCTTGACCTCCTCCTCCTCCTCCTCCTCCTCCTTCTCCTCATCCTCCTCTTCTCTCCCTGCGTCTCCCTCCTTCCCTCCCTCCCCTCCCCCCCTCCTCGCCTCTCCCCAACGTCCCCTCCATCCCTCCTGACCCGGCGCCTGGCCTGCCCGCCGCCAGCCTGGAAGCTGCGCCGCCCCCGGGCGCCGGGGGCTCGGCGCCCTTCGGGCTCTTCGATCGCAGCGGCCTCTGCAGGTGTGCGCGCGCCTCCATTGGCAGGGCGGAGCAGGAGGGATCCCAGACCCCGTCGCGTCGTGAAGCAAACATGACGGAAGGTTGTTCGCTGTCTTGGGCGTCCAGGGGTCCTCATTGGGCTCCTGGACCGTCAAACAACGACTCAGGATGAAAGACCGGTCCAGGGGAAGGGGTCCAGGCCTCTGGGGGTCCACCTTATGAAATTAGCATGACGTCGGGGGCATGGGCTGGAAGGGGGCATGCTGTGACACGTGCAGCCGTGGCACGCGGGTCGGACGCAACCCTAGCTTTGGAGGGGCACCCCCCCGTTCTTCGCGCTCTGGCTTTCCATCCTGTGATGTTTTCTGTGGGATCTTTTTTTGTTCGCAGCGCGGTCACCATCATCAAGCCTCGTCGAAATCTCACTGAGCGAAGTCCGGGAACCTGAGAGGCGAGCCAGGGCCCTGGCGACCCGTGTGGGAGAAGAAGGGCAAGGAAGGGGGAGGAGGAGTCGGAGGATTGGTGCGGCCACGTACTCTCACAGTCCCCTTAGGCTCCGTGTCGGCCGATGCATTCGCCAGCGGCACAGCCTGAGGCATCGGGGGTGGTGGTGCTGAAACACAGGCCTGGGATCCGTTTCTTGACTCATGCTGGCGTCCCGCGCTTCACGGTGTCATTCTGAAATCTCCACGGGATTGGCAGCTGGTTTCAATTACCCCTCGTAGCGCCACAGTTGTCCTCTCCTCCTCCCCCCTTTCTGAATTAAGAGCCCCGCTCTGGCTGTTTTGCTTCGGTGGCGTCTTCTGAAGCCCACCAGAACCGTTTTTGAACACATTTAACGTGCGCTTCAGGGACGCGGGCCTCTCGGGGGCAACATTGGAAGAACGGCTGTCGTTTTGGAACCCTTTTTCTGGCTATGTCGTAGCCTCTTGGTTGCATGAAGGTCATCTGGAACCAACATGGTCTTTCCTGTACCCGTTTGATTTCTGGGAGGCCACCTTGTTTTTTTGCAATGCTAGCAGCCCTCACGCTCTCACCCCAGTGAAAAGGGGGTAGGGGCGGGGGGGAACCCCTCCCAGAAGGCGAATGAAGAGAGGCGTCCCAGCGGTTGCATGGAAGGAGGTGTTGTGCTGAATCGCGCTCCCGTTCCAGCACCACGGACTTGATCTCCCGTCCAGTGTTTGGCAGCTGACAGCATGGATGAAGGGCTGGTGTCATTCAAAGGCGTTGCGCACAATGATTTAACGAAGCCGCCCTGGTCAATGATGGTTGATGTGTGTTCCACCGCATAAGGTCTCCCACCACGAAAGCTTATGAGGCCCTCGCCTTTCTAGCGGGTGCTAGCCGCAGAGAGGACAGACATGCGCTACCTGATGAGGAGGGGTCTTGGGACGGTTGTGCGCATTGGAGCGTCAGTGGTTTGTGCTGGATCTACTTTGGTCTCGTCGTCGTCGTTGTCCTCGTCCTCCTCCTCCTCATCACCTGCATTACCCTTACAATTCCTATCACAAGATGCTTATGTGTCTTATTCCTGCTCCTTGTCCATATTCGCTTCGCTATGTTCTTACCGTTGTTCTTCCACTTTTTCATTGTGTCGTTCTTCCCTCACTATTCATCCATAACTCGTCCCCTAATCCATCCTCCGTAGTCACGTCGGGTCAAGCAGGCGCGCTGCCATGGCCCATGGCTGTCCTGCCAAAGTGCCCCGCATGCGGCGCCTCCTTGCTGGTATCAGATGCCCAGTTCTGCAGCCGATGCGGCGTCCGGGCACAAGGCGCCGCAAATGGCAAGCCGTCGAGGTCCACGTGGGATCCAGAGCAGTACGTCTTGTCACCGCAGAGCAGAACCTCTCAGGCGCCTTGCCAGTCGCCTTTGGACCAGGCGCGGCGCGGCACCTCCGCGGCGGCAGAGCTCGCGCCACTGGCCGCTTCGGCCTCCCGGCCGCGTGCTGGCGCTGGCTCTCCAGAGGCCGCGGCGACTGGGCCGCGCAGCCGATTGGATGCCGCGGCGGCCAGCCGCAGCGGCGCCGCCGGCCCCGTCGGGCCAGGCCTCAGCGTCAGCCACAGGGGCCCTGGCTCGGGTCCACCCCCGCCCCCCCGACCAGAGGCGCCACCGCCAGCGCCCGCTGGCGCAGCCCTGAGGCGGACGGGCCGAAGCAGGGCCCCGGGCGCCAGCGATAAGGCCGCACGGCCTTTGGACGTCATTCAGCCGGACGGTGGCCGCGGTGGCATCGCCAGCCCTTCGGGCGCAGCGAGCTCGAACCTGCAGAAGCGGCTGCGGCGGCGCTGCCGTGGAGAAGGCTGCCTCTGGGAGCGCCTGACCGAGCAGGGGTCGCGGCCCGAGGTGGTGCTCCTGGCCGTGTGGTGGCTGGTCGTGCTGGTGGTCACGGTGTACGTGGCGGACCTGGCGACACATCTGCGGGCCGCATGGCGGCCGCTGTTGCTGCTTGCGTCCGTCCCGGTGATCTTCTCTGTGGCGCTCTGCGCTGCATCGTTGTGACCATCGGCGGCCGCGGCCCCATCTGCACCTCGCGCGTGGGGCGGCCGCAGGCGGTGGAGCCTCCTTCACAGGCTGAGCCCTGGAACCGGAAACGTCGGCGCAGTGGGGCAGGAGTGTAAGCTGCGGATGAGGAGAGGGAGCAAGAGTAGGAACGGAACCTGTAGCAGCAGCGGCGGCGCAGCAGGAGCAACGTGAAGCAGGATGAGAAGCAGGAGCAGGAGCATGAGAGGTCACAGAGATGAGGGGCGCTGGGTGAAGAAGAGGAGGAGTACGATGAGGGGGGAGGAGTCTGAGGAGGAGTCTTAGAAGGAGGGAGGGGGAGGAGCACAGGCAGGCGGAGGAGGGGGGGGAGGAGGAGAAGAAGAAGGAGAAGGAGAAGGAGGAGCAGGAAAGGATGAGCAGGAGCAGGAGGGGAGAAAGAGGGAGAAGAGGCGGAGGAGGAGGAGGAGGAGGAGGAGGTGGAGGAGGAGGAGGAGGAGGAGGAGGAGGAGGAGGAGGAGGAGGAACAGCAGCAGCAGTGTAAGCAGGAGCAGGATGTGGAGGACAACGCCGAGGAAGCGAAGGATAAGCCAGAGCTGGAGCGGGAACACAGTCGGAGCGTCGAAGCAAGGAACACATTTGGTGCGGAAGTGGTTTGGCGCTTTTCGGTCGTTCGGAAGTGGTTTGGCGCCTTCCGATCTCTCCCCCTTGGCCCCGGCACGGGATCTCTGATGGGTTTGCGATTTCTCCGCCCTTTTGCCCATACATGCACACTTGCTCTTGCATCTCGCCAGATCACCTCGCAGTCGCATCGTGTGTGAGCTAGCCCCAGCTATCAGGGCAGGGCTTTTTAGAACACATCGTTGGCCATGTACTCTGCTTCAGGCTCATTATGGCGAGGCTTTGGCTGTGCGACAACGGTCCGCGATCGCCGTGGAGCGAGGCCGCGGCAGTTTCGCGCGAGACCCTGCAGTTGCCCTTTGCGGCTGGGCGGTGTTGCTCGCGCGGCGCGCGGCGCGGAGCCCCTCTTCTCACCCCTTCACTGCCCTCCCGGAGGGGAAAAGGGGGTCCTCCTGGAAACGTGCCCTGGCCTCCACCGGGACGGGCGCTCCACCCTGAGCCGTCGTTTTGACGGTCTCGCGGAGCCCCCGCGTGGCCGCTCGCGCCGAACACGGCGAACGACAATCCAGGACCTCGCTCCTTCAGGACCCGCGTTCTTCTTGCCTGCCCTGCGCCTCCTCCTCCTCCTCCTCCTCCTCCTCCTCCTCCTCCTCCCCTCCCTCCCTCCCTCCCTCCCTCCCTCCCTCCCTCCCTCCCTCCCTCCCTCCCCTCCCCCTCCCTCCCTCCCTCCCTCCCTCCCCCCCCTTGCTGTCTCCCGGCACGCGCGAGGGGCGTCGCCAGGGGCGCCGGCGCTCCGGCGAGGGAGCGAGAGGGGCGGCCGGCCGCCCCGCAGGCGGAACTGCGTGGCCTTCGCGGCGCTGGCCACGGAGGCCCCCGCCCCGTGCCGGCCTGGAGCAGCGCTGTGGCCCCTAGCCACAGTGGGGTCGTCGGGAGGAGCACTGGCTACTCCAGATTTCGTAATAAAAGGGAGGGGGTCTGGACCCTCCAAGACAAGCCATTTCAGACCTCCCCCGTGGGAGAACCCTCCAAAACATCGTCCCCAGACCCCCCCAGGCCCTCCAAGATAGCCTGGAAGAGACCCCCCCCGAAATGAGACCCCCCTCCCTTTATTACGAAATCTGGAGTAGCCACAGTGGGGTCGTCGGGAGGAGCACTGGCTGCCGTTGGGTCGGGGCGCGGGTTGTCGGACCCCGGGTGACGCTCCCATTCGAGCGGGAACCCCCCATCCGGCAACACGCGCCCCTAGCCCTCTCCGACCCCCCTGTGGGTACGGGTGTGTGTGTGTGTGTTGTTCGTTCGTCAGCCCGGGCGGAGCCTCGACCTCCCGTCATGCTGCTTCCCTCCTCCTGTTGCTCTGCCTGACGAGGCCCTCGAGGACAGGGGCAGCCTGGAGGACGTTGCTGGCTCTGGTGACCCATTCGGGCAGCGTGGGCAGCCACTGCGAGGGTACCTGTGCTGAGAGGGCCTTCAGCTCCGTCTCGGGGTGGGCGCTCTCGTTGGCTGTCTCTGCTACCCCTCCTGGGTCAGCAAAGTTCCAAGGAGTTTCTCCTGATTCTCCTGCCTCCTCCGACATCCCCCGCTCCCTCATTTCCCCCTCCTTGCCCCTCCTCCTCCTCCTCCTCCTCCTCCTCCTCCTCCTCCTCCTCCTCTTCTGACCTGGTGCCCCATCGCGCTGGGCATGCTGCACAAATGGGGACAAACATTTACTTGAATGTTCCCGGTGCTGTGCGCGGCGACCTAATGCTTCCAGAAAGTGTCACCCCAAGCTCGCCGCACGACGGCCATCAGGGCGACATCGTGCGAGATGCTGTGTCTATGGCGGACGTTTTGAAGCAGTATTGGCAGCCTGTTTTCACTGAGCGGCCCCGCCCGGAGGCCGAAATTGCAGAGTTCCTGGACCGCGCAATTTCTGACCTCCCTAGCTTTGATTTCCACATCCCCTCTGAGAAGGAGCTGGCACAATGCCTTAGCCGAGCGCGGGACTCGGCTCCAGGACCGGATCGTCTCACGTATGCTGCGTGGAAGTGCCACCCCAAATGCCTCTCTGTCCTCTATCGCCTTCTCCTTTATCTCATGGGTGGCAACCCCGCCCCAGCTGGCCTCAACCGCAGCATATTCGCTTTCATCCCTAAGGGCGAAGAACCTCGGGACATCACAGACTGTCTACGAGAGCCGGGGTCCCTCCGACCCCTCACGCTCAAGAACTCGGACAGCAAGCTTCTCGCGTCTGTGGTCAACCAGCAGCTGCAGCACTCGGTTGTCCAGCGGACTCATGTGGTCCAGCAAGGTTTTGTTAAGGGGCGAAACCTGGCTTCCAACATCATCAGCATGGATTCGGCTGCTAGGAGAGCGAGCGTCGTAGATGCGGACATGGATCCCCTTTTCCTGAGTTTTGATGTGCGCGCGGCTTTTCCCAGCATGAGCCAGACCTGGCTGCGAATGGTGCTGGAAAGGTCACGCCTTCCGCAGGGTATCCTGTGGGTCGTGCTTGCTCTAAGTTCCGACGCTGTTGCACACATGCCAGTAGGCTCAGAGATAATCCCAATGTTTACCATAACCGCCGGCGTTCCCCAGGGCTGCCCTCTCTCCGGGTCTCTCTCGGCTCTTGGGTTCGACCCTTTCCTCCGCCACCTCGTCGCCCCTTTTCCCAGTAAGGAGGCAGCAAGCCTGGGGGCCTGCGCGGATGATGTAGGAGTTGTCTTGAATCAGATTCGTTTCTTACCACTCCTGTATGCCACTTTCGTGCTCGCCGAGCGCTTGGCCGGATTGGCATTGCAGCCCACTAAGTGCGTCGCAGTTCCATTGGCAGCCGCTTGCACAATTGTGGAGTGTGCCCGGATCTCCCAGCTCATCGCTCAGCTTGTCCCCGCGTGGGCATCGTTTCAGGTGCGCTCGTGGGCCAAATATCTTGGGGTGCTAATTGGTCCCGGGGCCACCCTGCGCGAGATCTGGCGCGAGGCTGGTGAAAAATGGTGGTCCAGGATTTGTGCGATTGCCCGTACCCGCGCTCCCAGCGAGGCGGCCATAAGACTGTACGAGCACACATGCTTGTCAGTTCTCGGGTACCTTGCTCAGTTTTTCCCGCTGTGCCAAGAGATCGCTCGCAAAGAATATTACGCTCTCCACAAGCTCCTTCGCCTCCCTCCCAGTCCATTTTCCCTGCACGACTTTTTCGGGGTGCGCAATTGGATGCGATCGGCATCCCCCACGAGTGTTCAGGTGTATTCTGTCGCCTGTGCCTGGCGGGCGTCGACGCACACTTTGAAAAACTGGGGGCGGGACTTTGACTGGTGGTGGGAGGGGGTGAACGTTCACGGTCTGCACATGCGTGTGCGCAAAGGTCTCCTCTCTGCACCCTGCTGGATGCAGGAGCGAGGCGTGCTACAATACTATCGGCAATTCTCCCAAGGCTGCCGCGGCCTCCCATTTCCAGCGGCTCGGATCCAAGCAGCCATCGATGCTGCTGCTGATCCACAGGGGCCCCCCCTGCCTGGTGAGGACAGGCTCCGGCAGCTCGGTATTATGTCAGCCGCCGCGCGGCGGCCAAATAGAGGCGCTAGAGGAAGGGGTGGTCGGGGCCGTGGGCGTCAGCGTCGTGGGCGAGGGGGGCAGGGACCTCAAGGCGCCTTCATCTCCCAGCTCATGCGATCAGAATTTCCCGATCGATTCCATGAGCTGATCTTCCGGAGGCTTAAGACGTGGTTCCCTCCCGAACCCCTGCCTCTTGCCGATGTGGAGACAAGATGGCTCGCACTTCGCCAAGTCTTGTCACGTTCTCAGCCGCACACGGTGTGGTCCCACCTTAAAACCCTCGCCGGAGGGTGGATCACCAGCCACAGGGTTAAGATCCTAATGCCATTGCCCTGCAGGTTTGGCTGCCCTGGTCACCCCGACTCGTTCCTCCACTACCTCTCCTGCCCCCGCTTGCTTCACCTCATTGCCTTGCCCCGCTTGCATATCCCTACCGTCCCCCCCTTCCTGTGGCTCGGCCTCGGGACGGAGGAGGAATATGGCGGCACCGATCTCACGATCGAGACTGCCCACGACCTCGTCAGTTTAGCGTACTCTATCTTCCATAAGGTCCGCGCCGAGCTTGCAGTAACCCCATCGCAGCTCGGCAGCTACGACCACCACCTTTCAATACGGCATGCGGCTCTCGTTCGTCGGTAACCTGACGGCACTCCCATGGGACGTGCGCTCCTTCTCCTCCTCCTCCTCCTCCTCCTCCTCCCCCTCCTCCTCCTCCTGGTCAGGGACTCCAGATATTATCGCCTTCAAGACATGCTGAAGGGCAAGCACCCCAAGTCTCTTTAGGCCCTCCAGTTTTGCTGCGCGCTCGAAGGTTCTGCGAGACAGCTAGTTTGCCGCCGCTGGCCTCTCTCCCTGAGACCTCTGGGGCGGGGAGTGGGTCGGGAGTGGGGGCGGGGTGCGCGGCGGTGCAGGAGCACTCTTATCCTCCTGAGTCCCAGGCTGAATCGGCCTTGTGCGATGCGAGGCATTGGGTAGAGTAGCGTCTCCATCGCTGGCCGCACCCGTTTTCAAACCACTGGTCAGTACGCTTGCGGCTGAGCTTTGTCGATTTGGTACGTTACTTCCGAATCAAGAGGACGTTCAACGAGAATGCACAGAAAGCGGACCAAACGAAGCTGCACCTCATGCTCAACCCCATCGCCATCAGCCCGTACACGCGGCCAGCACTCACGCAGCGCTACAAGGACAAGACAGGGGACGGCAGCCAAAATCCGCAGATCATGGTAGCCGAGCTCCGCCTACACATCATCCGAGCGTTCGTGGCCACAGGACGAATCGTCAAGATAGGCAGCCCGCCATCTGGAGCGCTGGAGAGAGCAGTGCAAGCGTCAGTGCAGGAGCAATCGATGTGAGTGGACTGATGCGAATGGCGGCAGCAGGCAGCGAAAGAGCCATATAATTGATATGAGAGCTCAACAGGCAGAAACAAGTACAATAGTTTACAGCAGCCGGGTGGGACGGAGTCTATGCATGTTCAGCATGGATGATGCAGTTTTGTTGCTATCGTGGTATGGGATTCCGGTCTCTGATACTTCAGAAGGGTGCGGTCAGTATATGAAAATATTGAGTGGATGGGAGTGACTCTGTTATGTGAGTTGGATGGGGGAGTATGTGCTACTTCAGAATAAGATGGAGCGTCCCGTGCAACACAGAGGGGCGAGCTTTCGATACGTCCGGATGAAGTGGTGTGGCTCCGCTAGTGCAGCATGGAATGCAGTGATTGATTCTACCCAATGGAATGGTAAGTCTCTGGCATTTCTGAGTGAATGGAGTGACCCTGCCAATATTCCATCGATGAAAATGCTTTTGCCATCGCAGCGATTTGAAGGGCTGCGCGTTTCCAGAAATTTGTTCAAGCCTGTCGGCTTCCTGTTGCTGAATGAGGGAGGGGAGTAGGGTGAGACGGGGAGTGTGGAGTGGTGGGGCAGGATGAGGCAACCTATGGAGCACGAAGGCGCACGCACTGAATCACCTTGCGGCCCGAAGTGGCAGCAGCACTGTCCTTTTCGTTTGTGTTGTTTTCTGGAGGCACCGTGTTCCCTGATCGCCTCCCCCGCACCCGTCGGCCGCCAGGTGGAGGTTATGGGCCCAAGTGCCCTACGCCTCCGATATGTGAGCGTTGAATGAAGTGCGGTGCGCCTTCGTGCTAAAGCGGGCTTAGAAGGCCCATGTTGGGTCATAAGGGCCCGCAGGCTTGCCCGAGCAGCGCGTTGATCACACCAGCAGCAATAGTCGTGGCCAGAGCTCCCACTCACAGAGGTGGGCCCGATAGCAGAGGCAGCAGCTGCCTAGGTCTTGCCTTGCCCTTGCCTCCTCCTCCTCTTTCTCCTCTTTCTCCTCCTCCTCCTCCTCCTCCTCCTCCTGCTCCTCCTCCACCCTTATCTCACCCCCCCTTCTTCCCTGTCATTCCTCCTCCTCCTCCCTTCTCCCTGGCCGTCTCTCTCTCTCTCTCTCTCTCTCTCTCTCTCTCTCAGGGCTGCCGAGACCCTGGGGTCAGCTTCGCATTTTGAGTTTTGTTCGGCTGGCCAACGTGGAAGCGGGCATGCCGCCCAGAGTCGCTGGGGGCGCTAGGCCGTAGCATGCGATGGCGATCGGTATTCATGTCTCGAACCGCGTGGTGACAGACTGTGCAAAGGCTGCCGCTACGTCGGCTTTCCTTGCCTCTGTGGCGCTCTTCGTCTTGTGGACGCGGAGGCCTCGCCCTGTCGCGTGCACGAACAAATGGAAGGCCTGGCCTTGAGCGACGCGAAGGACGTCGTGTCGTGACTGGTTTGCTCATGGAACGTGGTGCCTATGGGGCTGAGGAAGCAGGGGGGGAGCGAGCCTGTGGTGATCTGTCGCCTACGAGTGACATTTGGATGTTTGGCTGCTTTCGCATGGTGCTGAAACCATGCTCGGCCAGGAGGTAGGGCAGCCTGCGGTCCGTCGGAACACAGGCTCGCCCAAGTCCAGGCCATAGCAGTTGGGGATGATGGGCGCTGTGACGGAGGCGTCCATCTGGGGTGCTTTCCCTGAACGCTTGCGCATGCGATGCAAGATGGACGAATTCGCCGGGCGGGTGCACGATCGCCCTACGATGGGACCCGTGGCTCACGCCTCGTGCCCGCGCGCCCCGCTGGCTTGACCGAAACCTCGGCGGAGTGCGGTGAGCTTCTTCCCTTGGGGCAGTCAGCTCGCAGGGGCTCGGCGCCCATCCTCCTCCCTCCTGTGCTGGGCCCCGGCCGGAGCGCGCGGCAAGGATGCCGATTCGCACCTCTTCTGCCGAGAGACCACGGCAAGTTACTGAGTGCTCTCGCTGTGTGCTCTGTTTTGGCAGCAGCGTGGCGGGGCTCTCGCCGTGTGCCTTCCGCAACCGGCGCCCATGGCTGGTGCCCAACCCAATCTTGCGCAGTCCTCCATCCCCCAATGCTAGATCATTCCCCCTCATCTCATCCTCCCTCCTCCCTCATCATTTCCCCAACCCCTCCTCTTGGCATCGCTCGGATGTGTATTGTTCCGGCGGGGGCCATCGAGGCACATGGGGCCATCTTGCGAAACATATCATAATCCGCACGAAATCGAACAAGTTCACGAGGAATGGACGTCCGAGCGATGGCAGTTCCTTTCCTTCGCCTTCTTTCGTCCAGTCTCATTTTTTCCCCTCCCTTCCCCTTGTCCGCCTCGTCCGTCTCGCCCCCCACCTTCCTTCTCACCCACCCCCATCAAGCCTCTTCCTCCCTCCTTTTTTTTCCTCGTTCTCCCGCCTTCCACGTCCCCCCTCTCCCGTACCTCGTCCTCCCCCCCAACACCATCTTCTTTCCCTGCTCTGTGCTCCGTCCCCGCCGCGCACATTCGGTTTAAACATTTGCAAGAGTTTCGCGAATTGGGGGCGGGTGGTTTTCAAAATGTGGCTCTCGCCTGACGTCGCGCACATTCGTTTCAAACATTTGCAAGAGTTTCGCGGGTTGGGGGCGGGTGGTTTTCAAAGTGTGGTTCTCACCGACACATTCGATTCATAGCTGTGCAATAGCTTCACGGATTGAGGACAGGTGGTTTTCAAATTGTGGTGATCGCCGTACCGCCGCGCGCTTTTGTTCTAAACCTTTGCACTGGCTTCACGGATTGAGGGCGGCTCCTTTTCAAAATGTGGCTCTCGCTTCAGCGCCGCGCACACTCGTTCTAAGAATGTGCAAGAGTTCCACGGATTCCCATGGTCAACGTGCCAGAAACGGTGTTTTGGAAGGGTTCAGGATTACGCGGGCGGAACTGTTATGTCGGTTCGCGGAGTTGAAGTCCCGAAAATAGCGCTTTGGTACGGTACTAGATTGTCAGGCCGCAGCAGTCAGGTTGATCCGTGGCGTAGTAATCCAGAGAACTTTTTTCTGGCATGCTTCAAGATCTTCAAATTGTCTTCCAACGAGGCGGTTCCCTCAATGGAAATGAACTTTTGCAGGGGCGTATGAAGAGGGAGCTTGGGGGGAAGGTTAATTCCAACACCGTTGACGACTCTTGGGTTTACACTGGTCTGTCCTCCTTCCCGGTGTCCCCCCAGTGTCCTTCTCATTGCCCTTCCTCTTCCTCCCTCTTTCCCCCAGCATCGTTCTTGCATCGCCTACTCATGTCTCCTCCCGCTTTCTTTTGTTTCCCCCATATCATGCTATGGGACTATTGTCAGTGTTTAGGCGTCTCCGGGCCTCCTCGTTCCTTCTCACCGTCATCTTTCTTAAGCAGATCACTCAGATCTTCCTCTTTTCCTTTCATTCCCTCACCCAGACTACTCGCACACACTGGTCCTATTCTGGCTCTCTCAATATCAGATCACTTTCGCCCAGGTCATACTCACATCATTTATCTTCCGCCCTCGCCCACATCACACTTCTACTCATTTAGACTCGGACGTGCTGAGATTCAGGTTCACCCACATTCAGACTCACTCTTCCTCACTCAGACTCAGCCGCACCACTTCCCCACCCAGACTGTCTTCTTATCCAGAATCATTCGCACTCATATTCAGAGTCAGTGTTAGTGATGTTCCACAGCTCACCGCGATATAAAAGGCGTGGCTCCTGGGCACCCGCAGGGGGGGCCGCCAGGGGTGGGGACACTCCAGGATTCACGCTCGGAGTGTGGGTATATCAGGGTTTGCTTGCCTTGACCCCCCCGATACAGTATAGCAGGCGCTGCACTTGCGAACCCCAAGTAGGGGTCGCCACTGGTAGGGACACTCAAGGGTTCTCGCCCAGGTTGTGGGGATGTTTCAGGCGGTTTGCATGTTTTGACTCCAAGACTTTTTTTTATGTTGGTGGTCCACCTCTCTCCGAGATAAAGCAGGCGTGACACTTGGGCACCCCAGGGGGTGGGGCGCCAGGGGTAGGGACACTCCAGGATTCGCGCCCGTGTTGTGGGGACGTGTCGGGCGGCGCGCTCACTCTGGACCCCCAGATGTTTGTTTCCTCTCCTGATGGTCCAGTGCTCACCGCAATCTAGCAGGCGTGTAACGTGGGCACCCCACTAAAGGGGGGCTCTTTGGGGTGGTGACACTCCAAGAGCTGGAGGAGGAGGAGCAGGAGGAGGAGGAGAAGGAGGAGGAGAAGGAGGAGGAGGAAAGGAGGAGGAGGAAAGGAGGCGACGACGACGACGACGATCGACGAGTGGGGGGG